GGCATTAAATTCTTCTTTGTGTTCGTCGTAGATAAAGTATAGTATGCAACTCGTTTTATAAACTTCTCCAGACACTCGTTTTTATAAAGACTCGCTCGCAAGCTTCGCTCATGCCTAATAAAACTCGTAACTAAAATGGCGTTTATAAAACTTGATACATAATATACTATTTTTTTCAATTTTTTTGTTCCATTTTGTTATAAAACTATGGGAATCAAACTTAAACACTTTGGAAACATAATAGAGAGCACTCGACAAAACCGTTTAAACGAGTTCGTTAGTAAGGTTTTCCTTACTATATATATACCTCAAAAAACGACTTATTTACATAAATATTGTATAAAAAGGCCATATAAATACGCTGTGTTCGATCCCGACTGACGTCACACACTGTAAATCAGTATTATTCCCCGAGCAATAAGAAATTGATATAAAGCTGGGTGGCTCAGATGGAAGAACGCCCGCTTTACATGCGAGAGGTTCGGGTTCGATACTTGTCGCCTCCACAATTTCGAAATAATACAATGTGACCTTAAAAAACATTATTTAATTTTACAATGATATTTAAAATTATATACACTTCTTCATCATTTTTTTTGCTGCAGTAACATAATATAATATGAATATTTACAATGATATTTAAAATTATATACCCTTCCTTATCATCATTTTTCTACAGTAACAAAATATAATATGTAATTAAATGAATATTTCTTTGTAGTTAAGTATTGGGTTTGGGCGTTAAGTTGGGTATTGGGTTGGGCGTTGGTTTGTTTTAGTTTTAAATCGTAAAATTACGACGTAAAATTATGACGTCAATCGGGATAAAACTTAAGTCCCGCATTGGGACTGTAGACACAGCTATATAAATACCATAAAACATTAATATATAAAATTTATATATCATTGTTCCAATTTAGGTATAAAAAATTGTTATACAGCCATGACATAATAGGGATGTAAATATAACAAATATATCGTAACAAAAAGAGAAAAACTATGTAAATACCATATAATCAGGTTATATGAATACTATAAAACATTGCCATATATCAAAGTTAGGGGGGGGGTGCTAAAATAAAATATAGTAAAAAATAATTTTTTAAAATTAAAATTGCCTACGTTAACAATAGGATAATAGGATAACAATCACAAGGGTAGCCTTGCGCAACGCGTCGCTATGAGAAATTTCTTATTGATAAGGATATTTCTTTATTGATAACGACTGATAAGGAAAAAATCAGAACACAACGTCCACGTTGGTCTCGCTAATTTTAAAGTGGTTTACCCCTCGGCTAATACCCATTTAATAAATGTAAAAAATATTAATACAATGTACCAGGGGTATAAAAATACTAAATTGAAATATTTTCCCTACAATTTTGTTTTGCTCTATGACGTCTAAATGAGTATCTGGTAAACAACATTTTTTTAAATCCGATAACATTTTGAGGTCCTACTTAAATAAAAAACTACGGCATAAGGCGTCCTTGATATTGGTTGTATTTTTGACTAATTTCTCGTTCTGCAGTATCATTAACAACACTTTTTACAAAATTCTAAGAAAACCGGATCCTAAGGCCAACTCTAAGGTGTTACTTTTAGAAATTCTTTACTTTTATTAGGAAAAAGCTGATTCTTTTAGTACACAGATACTGGGATAACTTTTTAGTATACCTAAGAGCTAAATATAATTATAGGCAGCTCTAATATCAAATATTAGATTGTTTTTCTCTAGTTAAAGGAAACTGATTTAGGAGTTATATCTTCAGGACATAAATGACTTTTAAAATCCATCAATCATGATGTGTAGGGAACGCACTTCATGCACCACTGAAACAAAAATTTGTTTTGCAAGTATTTGTTTCTCAAGCAATTAAATAAAGGGTTCTAAAACATGCCAATACCAGCTGCGCTATAAGCAGTTTGATCAATAGCTGGTTACGCTGTTTGAGAGCAGTTAAATAGTTCAGGAACATTATAGAGCCAAACGAACATAAGAAAGCAGCTGAAAGTATAAGCTCCATGACATGATGCCGGCATCAATCCAGACAAGTTCACGTCTAAGAATTTTTTCCAAGCACCAGTGAGGAGACTAGTATTACTTGCTGTTGTCTTTTTAAGCTGCATCACCGCATTCTTGAACGTGAGCCTTCCTTGTTTATCTAATGATTTTTGGAATACCTAAAAGTTCTTCATGACTATTTCCGGTGATAAATATAGCGATTCGGTCAACTTTTTTTAGATCCATTAATATAAGATACTTACTTCCAGGCGACCAGTAAATGACAACCTAGTATAGTATAGTAGTATCAAATATTTCAAATTACACGTTTATCTGATAATTGTTTGTTTTCTTATAATCCAACTTAAAGTAGGTATGCATAAAAAGTATAAAAGCTTCAATTTAATTTGAAACTATATTCAACAATTCTTTAGAATATATTGGTAAAACCACATTAACACACGCTTTCAAAAAATCCAAAATACCTATTAATATTTATTTTGGTCAAAATAGGTTTTCCTTGCCCAAAAATTACAAAATGAAAATGAAATTTTTGTTATAATAAACTCGTATTAACCTACCTTTGATACAGATAGAGATGAAAAATACTTGAGCATTTATTTTTGGAGAATGCAAATTAAGCATAAACAAGAAATTCCCGAGAAGTTAATAACAACATAGCAGAATTAGGCCAATTAACGTTTTTTGTCAAAGTTCAATAAAAAACATACCATAATAACAAAAATAATAAAAACTCATCAAGTAAATACAAATGGTTTAAGAAGGTTTGGGGCCGTTATTTAAAATAATACCATAATTTTCGTTATCGAAAAATGGATAAATAAAATGCTCACTGCCAAAATTTTAAGTTAATTTTACAGTTTTTGAAAAATAAATTGTTTACATTTATACATTAATTAATAATGTATTAATTAAAATGCAAAATAACTTAAAAAAAATTGTTTACATTTATACATTAATTAATAATGTATTAATTAAAATGCAAAATAACTTAAAAAAAATTCAAAAATATCAAATTATTAAGCACTAAAAATTTCATAACATTGGTAATATTTCTATAAAAGTACAGCTACAGTACTTCGATTAGAAAAATTTAAAATTATGATATTATTTTAAAAAACTGTCCCGAACCTACTTAATTAAATCAATAAAGTGATGCAAGGTGCATGCCACTTATGTTCTGTGCTTGTGATTCTCGCGAAACGGGTCGCAGTGTTGCTACTATAGCGTTTTACCTTTTAGCGATCAAGCATTTTGCCAAGAATTTTCGAGCATATTCAAGATTGTGCTCCAAAATGCTCTACCGGGAAATTACGAGAAATTCATTTGAAGCTTCGAGAACGTTCCCTCATTTACAACACTATAGTGTTGTTAATGAGGGAACATTCTAGATTTATTTATAAAACTATAAATACGGATATCCTTTTTCTACGATACAGAAGCTGGTTTTTTTACATAAATGCTGATTAGTTTGATAAATAAATATTATTTATAAAATAACAGTAGGTCGTGGCAGCAAATTGTTGGAGAAAACCAGATATCTAGACCAAATGCACAAAAATAGTACTTTTTGGCACCATAAACTTTAGAATTTCACTAAATGCAGTATTTATTTTTCTCGGTAGTGTTACACTACAGTAGTGGTCAGCACTGCGGACTACAAGCCGAGAGGTTCTGGATTCGAATCCCTCATGGAGATCGCTGTTTATTCGTGTTTGTCCAGGGCTGGATGCTCCCGTGTACGAGTTTTGGTTCGTCCCGCGCATGACGTCACTTGATGAGTAGTTGCCGTGCGAATACCCGAATAATAGTAATATTATCAAATAAAATAGAGAAATTTCTGGACATAGTGCGTTTTTATTAAACTTAATATTGAAGAAAGTGTTATAATATGGATAATAAATGCTTTCAGTCCTTGATAACATTTAGGGCTGTAGTTTAAGCGTTGGTGTTTTAAATTAAACTTATAGTCACTGTCCAGAAAATGTTTATAGGAAACAGAAGCGGTCTTAACGTAAATATTGTCTATTATTTTTGTGGCATTTAAACACTGTTTCCACAAATCAAACTTTTTCGTGAATCGATTAAATTTAATGTTTTTATTTAAAGGGTTTTTCTTGGACTGGTTGTCCGAATTGCATCCAAATATGCCACACCGCATTTTAATAAATGCAAATGGCACTATAAAATCTAAAACACAAACAAAACAAGTTAACGCAACACAAAAACAATAATAAACAAACCTAACGCAATAACAATAATTTGAACGCTGAAAAGTAATTCGAACCTTACCGAACACAAAAACGACAAGTTAAACAAAAAGTAGAGCAAGTTAACATCCAAAAGCATCGCAAAAACAAGAATTTTAGCAGTAGATAATTAAAAAGCACGTTAAAGATTTAAAAACACTCATCAAGTGACGTCATTAAGCCCCGCCCAACATGCGCACCATCCTATCTTAAGGTGTATGTATCTTGGTGTTTGTCAGTTAGTACTCCTGTAATTAGGCACTGTGACTGTTGAAAGCACATTAAAATAATAATAAATTATTGTTGTTGGGATACTATAAAGATTTCTTAACTTTAAACATAAGCGGTAAACGTATAAATATAATTTATTTCGTTTACTATACTTGATAGATACATAAACTAAAATAACGGCGTTTCGTATCAAAGTCACGTGGTGAGACTACTATACCGTAAAGTAGTGTATAATATATTTCTGGAGAGCGCCAACATGTTTGGGACCGTATAGATCTGTAGTTATATACACTGTATATAACTATAGATCTATACGGTCCCAAACATGTTGGCGCTCTCCAGGAATGCGCGGTTGTCATTTTAAATAAAGATTAAACTATAGGTATTTTGGTCCAAATAATGTCCCAAGACACATCAAATCTGGTGAAATTTACACTAAGTTTTTGTTAACTTTACATTTTTTGATAAAAATCTTAAAAACCTTTTTTTTTCAGGCATTCCAGTCTGGGTTGGTAGAAAACTGTACACACGGTACAAGTCAGTGAACAAGCACAAGCGCAACGCCGCCATCATTGGGGGTGTTCTCGCTTCGGTATGTATCATGTGGCTTATAGTTTTTATGTATTATTATTTTCAATATGTCGAATTTTTAATCGATAACGTCATGTTTTTCTACATATTTACGTGCATTGCCTTGAGCGAATTTTTCGGCATGTACTGGGAGGAGCTGTTTTACTTAACTGCGATTATTCAAATTATGTTCTGAGATTTTTCTTTTGAATTTAAATTACGGTACCTTTATGCCAAAATGTACACAAAAAAACAAAATCTTTATTTTTTATTGAATTAACGAAAAAAAACTAAAAACGGACTAAAAAGTAAATAACAAAAATAGAAAATGCAAAAAATTCACAAAGCTATACATAATTAAATATGTTGGGTATTTTACACGTTAAGTTAAGATTTTAATAACTTTTTGGTTTAAAAATCAGTTTTAAAGGTAATCAAAAAAACTTTTAAGTAATTCTGTTAAGTGAGGAGGATTTCTTAATAATGGTAATTCATTAATTAATTTAATAATTTAAAAATAATAATTTCAAATTAATTAAGTCATTTAAAAATAACATTTTATACAAATTGGGTAAAAATCAATTTGAGTTTGAATAATTAAAAATTAAAAATTTTATTTATTGGGAGTTTCTTTATATGTAGGTATATTATAATAAAGATTTGTTCATGTATATTATTTTTAATGTCAAACTCTCAAGCGCTCATAAATGCTCATAAACGCTTATAAATACTTGATAATTTGTGTTATGTTGGAAAATAGATGGTAAATGAAAAAAAAAACTAATTTATTTGTTGGTTATAACCAAGAAATAAATCAGTTTTTTTTCATAAATGTTATAATCCCGCTTTTTAGTTTTGACGCCAAACTCAGATATCGAGCATTTTTAAAAGCACTCGAGCCCTATCAAGCGGTTTTCGAGCATTTATAAGCAATATTTTTAAATTAAAATAACTTACTTTTCTAATTAAAATTATTAAGGGTAATGAGTAAAAAGTTCATTTAATATAGAAAATATTTTTGGTTCAAATTTAAATTTATAGTAAAATTTTACAATACCTATTTTTAAAAAAAATTCTACTAGGGATAGAACGATATCACTTTTTTTTGCCGATACGATATATCGGCCGATACCGATATTTACGTGCCGATATACCGATATATCGTATCGGCAAACATAATGCCATCTATTTATACACGACCGAAGCAAAAATCGGGGAAGTCCCGTTTTAATTCCGTTGTGAGGAAACGTTTGTGATTGGTAGTGAGTGACATTTCGGATTTCTGGGAAGCCCCTTATACAGTGTGATTTAAAACAAATAGATACACTTAAATAAAACAAGTGCCAAACCCCGCCCACTGTGGTAGGGATTGAGAATTTATAGGTTTTATTTTTATCGAATTAAATTTTAAGTATTAAGTATATACTGTATTTAGTACCTGCTACATAGGTATATTTGTTGTAAGTGGCGTTAGGATTTGTTTTACTTTTTTAGTAAAAATGTTACCTTTAGAATAAATTTTTTTATTTTGTTTAATAAAGTATTTCATTTATGCACTGAAGAGTGAAAAGCGCAATTTTTTTTGCGGATATATCGGCAATTATCTTGCCGATACGATACGATACCGATAATCGGAAACAATTGCCGATATGCCGATATACCGATATCAATATCGGTATCGTTCTATCCCTAAATTCTACTTTTATTAACACTGCAATGTTTGAGAACATGTTTCTAATGTTACGTCATATTTTTGTCATTTATTATTAAGCCCGCTGCACAACAGCCCGGTAACGAAAACGGGAACCTAAACGGTAAAGGTGGGAGAGACTCAGCGAACCCTATCTATCAACAGTGGTTATTTAGTCTCTCCCACCTTTAATTTTAAGATTCCCGTTCCTGTTACCTTGCTATTGTGCAGCGGGCTTTAGAATAAATCGTATATTATTATACTCGAGATAATCCACATTATCTCGAGTATAATATTATATTTTTTTGTATCCTTAATGGAAAACAGCCATTTGATTAGCTAGAATTTAATAAAGAAATGTTTTATTTTACTAATTTTCAACACTAATAGTTAGAAACACTTTAATAGTTAGCAACACAAACATACACACAAATCTGAAATTTAACGAAAAAAATTATTCTCAATTTTTATGTTCATAAATATTAAATGTACAATTAGATATATTTTGGAATGAAATTCCATTTGTACTTTTGGAAAATTCGTTAATTAAACATCCATGATAGTTGAACTTGATGAGGATTAGTGCTGCCGAGAGTCATCCTTTGAAGCCTCTAAAAAATTTCTTCGATGTTTGAACGAGGGGGTAACAACTGAACCAAAATTTGTACATGTATTGCGCATTACGTGCCTTTTTTATGGTAATACCAGTGTAATATCAGTAATTCCAGTGTAATTCCAGTATAATGCCGGTAATTCCAGTGTACTGCCAGTAATTCCAGTGTAATACCAGTAATTCCAGTGTAATGCCAGTAATTCCAGTGTAATGTTAGTAATTCCGTATTTACTCATACATACATTTTTGTTGGAAGAAAATAATATAAAAATAAAAGAAATCTTGACCATTCTTAAAAAAATAAAAAAAATGCATAATTTTTATATTATGATAACATATTGTGGCAACATCCATGAAGGGAAAGCATTATCTTCACAGAATATTTATATGAAACCAAATATAATATACAGTTTGGACATATTTATTATTTTCTCTTATAACATATATACAAACATACACATATATAGGTACCTACAACTAAAAAATATTCTTAAACTATTTGTTCACGCGAAAAACATTTTAGTCGATCATATTCTTGTACTTGTCGTACTTTGTCGTCTGCTTCTAAGAGTTCAAAGAGGTAATTTCTTGCAAATAAATTTATATTTTCAATATGAATATCGGTGATTTTTGATCAGCCATTCCACGTTACTCGGGAATTTTTGTAGCGTCCGTTACAATCAAAAATTGTGAGTAAAACTACCGTAATTATGATGCTTATAAGCTTAAGCCTAATTATTACAAGCATAATAGTATTAAATTTAATTACGGTAGCTTTTACTCACATTTTTTTATTGTAACGGACGCTACAAAAGTTTCCGAGTAGCGTGGAATGGCTGTGATATCGAATGTAGGTTGTCATAACCAGTGTAAATCATTAGGTTTTTTTACATGTAAACTGGTAACTGAAAACCATGTAGTTGAACTTTACTAATACAGGCATCAACTGGACAAATTGATTCTTCTTCGGATAATATTAATTCTTTTTCTGATGAAAACATTCTAAAAGATCAAATAAACTATAAAACAAGGAACAAAAATAGCTGGGTCGGTCCATATCAAATCACCCGAAGGCTTTTTCTTCACCATCTCCGATTTTGATTATTTTTGGTAAATTTGTTTTAATCATTAAAAAACTCATAGATCCATTTTTTTCTAATAACAAGTTTGTTAAAAATCAAAAATTGCAATATATCAAATACTATTTAAAGTAAAAGGTGGGTCCTGTTTTAAAGGTCTTTTAGGGGCCTTTTTATGATATATCACATAGACTAATTTTTTCATCATTTTGAGAGAAGAAATTAAATATGTCAAAAATGCCTTTTTAATTTTTTCAAGAAAACTATATTTTATTGCAGCATACAGCATTGAATTACTTTAAAGGAATTGAATTACTATAAAGGAATTAAATTACTTTAAAGGAATTGAATCCTTTGAAAAATAATTCAATTTCTCAAATATCTTAAAAACAATTACCAATAACAATTACTTTCTAGAAAGTAATTGAAGTGCCAATTATTTGTAAGGTTTTAAAAAAATAATTTAATTAAAGTAATTAAATTACTGTAAAGTAATTTAATTACATTTTCAATTACTTTAATTCAATTACTTGACAGCTCTGGTCGTCGCTTTAAGTGGTTTTTGAGATATGGCTATTTTTGTACAAGACCCAAATCGGCAATTTTTCAATTTTAAAAAATCAATAATACAAAAACACGTCATCGAAGAAAATTTTTTTTTGGGTTTTTTATAAAACAAATTTACCAAAAATCATCGAAATTGGTAAGGGAAAAAAGTATCAATTTTTTGGTTGATTTCGAGTTTCGGTTGATTTAATATTAAAATTAGCAAGAACTCAAACAAGGAGAACTAAATTCTATTAAATTTTGCAAAAATTACAAAAAATTCTTTTCTTGCTCAATTGTCAACAATTGCCAATATGTTGACGAAAAAGTGCGGAAAGAATTAGTAAGCTCGCAGGAAATAAAAACTAATATGTAATAGTTATTTACGATATAAGTGGGATAAGAGCTTTATTATTAACGTACGCATGCGAAATTTGCCCAACGAGTGCGTAGTTGGGCAATCGCAAAAGTACGTTAATAAAGCGTTATCACACGTATATTGTACAAATTTTTATCTACGCCTCTAAATGAAAAAATAAACGGTAATTATTTTTGTCTAAGACTTAATTTAGGGTTATTTTGAAATTTTGACTTTTTTATTTGATTGGTTAAAAGCAGAGAAAAACGCGTGCGTTAATGAACTTCTTATCTCACTCAAAATGAGTGGGATAAGAAGTTCTTATCCCACTGGCGTAGATAAAGATAATTATGCATAAGCCATAATATTCCAGAAGATTTAAGTTTTTTCTATCACAAGATTAAAAATATTGGGAGAAAAATACATTTTTTCTTAAAAATGTTAATCCATAATTAATTTTAATGTTAAAGTCAGGAAAAGTTCTAATGTCAAATTATTTACTTACATTCGAGCTTACATTGTGGTTTTACTGTAATTTAATACGTTTTGATTTAATTTTTTAAAGAATTTGTCAAAATGACAAATGTCATGAAATCTTATAATCTAAAATTATTTAAATCATAAATGCCAATTTTCGATTTAAAATACAAAAATCTTAGGCCCGTATGGATATTTAGCTTTTAATTCGGCCTTGTTCAATGTTTTCGTCAATCACGTGAACAGCGTCTACATTAAGTTCTCGTTAAATAAAAATACACTTCATCCTGGGTAGAAACGCTTCTTAAAAAAATTCAGGAAATTATTGAGAAAAAAATGCTTCAAAAGCCAAAGTTTGTGTTTTAAGGAGAACTGTGATTCTGGGGTAATTCCCTTTCTTAGCAAATGGTCTAAATGATGAGCAAAAACTAAATATCTTACTAAAATTAAAAATACCTATAAATGATTTTATTTCACTTACCTCAACCACAAAAGTCAACCTTAATGCCATAAAATGCGAGCGTAATGCCGTAATTCATACGTAAGGCCGTGAAATTTGTAAGTAATGCAATGTAATGCCGCCTAATACCAGCGTAATACTGCGGAATGCCAACATAATGCCGGTAATGTCATGTAATGCCAGGAATGCCGCCGTAATGCGGCGTAATGCATCAAAATTTGTACATGTATTGCCAGCAGTTGTTACCCCCTCGTGTTTGAATTTTATTTTGAATGCTTTCAGCAGAAGATGTCTTTTCAGAGATACTGCCATTATCAACCAACATGGTAGCTGCACTCCTTCGCATACAATGCACTGTGTAGCTATTGGAATCAGGAAGCTTCAAATATTCAGCAATTTTTCTCGGCAAACTATAAAATGTGTTGATCCCCACCGCTTGCACAGTGCATTTTCCATTCCGGTAACAAACGAAAAATTTGGAATGATTCGTGTTTTGTGGCCTTAATTTACGATACTTCCTATACAACTCAATTCCGTTCGCTTCCAAGGTTACGGTAAAAACTCGCTTCTTTTTCGTTTTTGTATTACGTAGTGTTACGATAATAACTGATTCATTCTCTTCTATATCGTTGATTGTTAGTGTTCGTAATTCTTCTCCTCGCATTGCTCCATTTAAAGCAAAAATTAATGCCACTTTCATAAATAGATACGATTTATTCGAAGCGTCATTTAGAAACTTCATAATTTGTTCAATTGACAACACTTTTGACTTTTTAGGTTCATTCTGCTTTTTCAAAAATGCAATTAATTGCATGTATTTTAAAAGGTCACTGCCTTCCTATATTTGCAACGTACTCTTCAGCATCGAATATGTTGACCACAGTGACGATTTTAGGACTAAAATACAAGAAAAAATTACAAAATTTATTTTTTAGAAACATTAGCTTCTTACCTTTCCTAAAAAAAGCTAGCATAACATTTCAAAAGTTTTATCATATTTTTCTTTTGACTTGGATGGAAGCAGATTTTCAGTCGCTCCTCTCTCGGGGCTTCCAAAATACCCTCATTTTTTTCAAAAACACTGATCATCCGACAAAATTTTGTTTTTATTTAATTTGTTGTCATGCGTTGCTACGGTTTACTTTTCATAAACAAGTTAAAGATTGTAAAAAAAACATTTTTTTAAAAATATTTTTTAAGTTTTCTACTTTTTCCATCAAGGATACTAAAAAATGGCATGTTCAACTCATAAGAAAAGTTCGTTCTCCAGCTCGTGAAAATTGGTTTTACTCGCCAAGGCTCGTGAAACCAACCTTTTTCACTCACTGGAAAACTTTCACTTTTCTTTACTTGTAGAACAATCTTCTATTATCTACTCCAATATGTAGATAATTATGTAGATGATTTTCAAAAATAAATAAATAAAATCTGACATATGTCAAATGGTTAACCTTTTTACCAATTTTAAATGTTATTATAGTCGCCTTTTCCCAATTTAAAACACGATTGGTTCAAATCAAAGTAAATATTAAAATCGGCCAATCACTGCTGCCTAATAGGCAGAAAATTTATAATGTTTATCATTGTTCACGAAAAAAACAGTATTATGCAATATGAGTAGATAAATATTTTTATTGAACAGAGTTGACGGTTATCGCCACTTGTAATGTTTGTAACGATAATTATAAAACTTAACGAAAAACGATAAAAATTAGCATAATTAAAAAAGTAAACTTGACTAAATGATTTTTTAATATTTTTATTGTATAAACATTTCCCAGACTTGCTATATTTTTTAAATGTTCAATATCAATAGTCATTTTCTATGTATACCTAAATCGATATAATGTTCTTGACCTTTTTCTAATGTAATCTAATTTAACTAGTTAAAAAAAGTATAAAGCAGTTGATATTAATAAGACTTATTTATACGAGTATAGGTACATAACGTACATTTTTCTTCAAGTTATATCCTTATTTGATCGCTATAAAAAAAAGTTTTTACAAATTGCGATTAAAATTTCTGGAAAAGCTATTTCCGCAAATTTCGCCAACTACAACGCCTCAGCGGTCTCGAAAAAACGTATTCCTCGATGTCTGGCATTTTCAGTCTGGCCTTTGGACACTCCGTTCCTTGTCGTCGACTATTATCGATCGCTGAAAAGCACATGCATTCGTCGCTCATTCAGACCGTGTTGTCCGCGTTGCGACGCTGCTAAAATTTGCAAATAATGCAAATTACATTTGAAATTTGCCTACGTAATGTTTTTAAATCCCCTTATACAAAATAGTTTTTAAAGAGCTCTAAACACCCGCAAGGAATATATAATTTCGTGAAAGTGGGCAAAATAATGAATTGTTCATTTCTTAACTTCAAACTATTGGCGAAATTGCTTTTTGTCCACAGGCTGAGGTTGTCTTTCAATAAGAATTAAAAAAACATGAGGTTAAAACTGTTTTACAGATGTCAGATAAAATATCAAATATAATTGGCTTTAAATTCCTTGTGGTAGTTGAATAAAGTGCTGTGTGCGACTTGGTCAAAAGAGAAAAGTCCACTCGCGTGTTGTTCCAAGCTTGAGGTATCTCCTTTTTCTCCCACTAGCCGCAAAATATACTCATCTATTCCTATTGCATAATATTGGGGTTTTTCTGTATAAAATTAAAACCATTATAACCTCCCTGCCTAACACTTATGCCTAACGTTGATAGGCATCAGTGATTGGTCGATTTAAATATTCACTGTGATTTGAACCAATCAGGGTGTACATTGGGAGAAGGCGACTATAATAATACATAAAATTGGTAGAACCGCCTGACGGATGTCAGATTTTACTTATTTATTTTTGAAAATCGTTTAATTTCTCGTAAATACTAATTGGAGTAGATAAAGTATAGTATTTTTATCATAGTCTTTATTTAAATATAAAAATAAAAAAATGTTTATTTGTATATTAGATAATTATTAACATTTTAATTTATGCCGAAATATTTTAATTGCAACACAAATACTTACTTACTTTCTACAAAAACGTAACCATTTAAGCGTTTAGTTAGCAAATAGGGTGAACAGTTTAAGGCAAAAACTCCACTTACCATCTTCAATAAAATTTAAGAGACTCCTCTCTATTTCTTAAGAAGCCAATTAAAAAACTTTTAACAAAAAATAATTTGACTTTTTAGCATTTTCGCTTAATGTTTAGTTAAGAGGCGGAAAACGCTTTAACTTTGTTTCAAAGAAAAAGTTTTAAAAACAAATTGTACGCCACTGTTCTCGCGCACGAAATTTGTCTGATTGATTAAAAAATAGAATAACCCGTCTCCCTATCGGGCGAATAAATGATGATGCTCTTTTTGCAGCAGCCCGGTTTCTTACAAAAACGGCCTGTCTAGAATTGGGTCGTGGAGAGGTTGACTAAAAATTTCAGATGCCATTCCCAAGTTTTTCTTGATTCAGCTGCAGATGATTTATAAATCTTTTCATAATATTTTTTCATTTAATGCAAACTTCGGAATAACAATAAATAAAACTTCAAAGTATAAAATACTGCAACGGCATTTAATGATTAGAGATAATTACATACTGAAAGTGTTTACATTTGTTAGTTCTAAAAAGTGCTACGAAGATTGTATGTATGCTTGCTTTATAATAAATATATCATCTAACAATAAAAATATTTTGGCACGGAACACAGTTAAACTCTTAGAAAAAAGCGAAAACACAATATAAGCAATTAATATTGTGTCTCTTTATGCACAGCTTGTATCACTTGGTTTGTGGCTGTTTCGTACCACGTTATTCATTGTTGAGTTTTGTTTGCAACGTCTGCGTTGAGCAACCCATCTTTATGCAGATCTTGCAGTAATTCTAAAAGTCGTTCTTCCATTTGTTCGTTGCCCAGAGCCAGATCTACAGAACCTATACAAAGTAATAAAGCTAAAAGTTGCGACCTTTGGTAGTCTTCCGATAGTTTTTTCCTAGTGTATCCCAGCTCGCCTTCCACGTCCAAGCTCATTTTCCTACATATTGTCGTCAGACTTTCCCAATAACCGTCTAAAAGTTTCTCAGTGTGTATTCTGCGTAGCTCAGCCGGCACGGAGCTAATCAACAAAAGAGCCAAATCGTTGGTGGGTCTGCTGTAAGTGACCATTTGCCAATCCAATATCGAACACACACAACTATTTTCATCTTCTTTAAACATTAAGTTGTTGCACCAAAAGTCCGTGTGCGTTATAAGAGCCATAGGTTCTTCAGGCGACAACAAGTTTTCTATTATATCCTTGGTGTGAGGTCTAAGGTCGTTAAGGGCCGTCAAAACGTTTTCCAACCCCGGCCGCCTCTCCAAAAACTGCGACAGCTGCGGCAAACCTCTCTCCACCAGCTGCTGATAGGAATCCGAGGCCCGCGTGGTCTGGAAAAGGAACGGATAACGTTCGGACAAAGACTTGCCCTCTTTCATTTTCAGCGACAGCGATAGAGCGTGCAATTGTGCGATGGCGTCCACAGCCGCCGTTGTTTGTTTCAGGGTGAGACCTCTGGAGAAGTCGGCACCGACGAACCCGTTGGGTTTGATGTTTTCTAAAACTAGGACGGACTCTGGCGGAGTGGCTTCGGGCTCGGTGCTACCGGGCGAATAATGTGCGTAATAACATTTCGGTATCGGCAGTCTCATGTCCAGTTTATCGGACATATTTTTTGACTTAAAGGACTCTAGGTCGGGAACTACCTAAAAATAAATTGAGAAGGTTAGTTATGTAGATTTTGAAGTAGTGTTGTTTAACTATTCAATTAATTCATTAAGCAAATTAAATGACTAAGCGATGAACAGAGTTGTTAGTCATCAAGAACATCATAGCATAAATTTAAATTAAGGACGGGTAACTTGTAAATTAACATAGCTACTTACTTGGGTGTAAAATTTGATTTCCCTTAAATCGAATTGCGCTTCGGTCACGAAGAATCTACTAAAAGGGTCTTGAGGTAGCAGTTTAATGATAAAGCTTAGATTGTTGGTAGTAGTATCTGTATCTTTACGAAGGCAGTATTTAACGGCCACCGCCAAAATATCACTAAGAACGCTCTCCCCCACATCGCAACCTGGTTTCACAGTAAAATCCAAAACTGATATCGCTGAAGGATCCTCGAGGTCTTTGTGATGCTCCTTGAGGACGGCCTGAAGCCATTCTTCGGTCACCGGCCAGTCCGCACCGCTGCTGGTCTCTTCCTCACTTTCCGACATAATTTTTTTCAGAGCCAAACGTTTGTCATAACAAATACAATGCACGTTGATATGCTACGAACGGTACGAGTGGAGCGTATTTCACGGCGAGCTGGCGGATTTGTAATGCTCTTCGCTGATAAAATCTATCTCGATTCCTGCTTTACTGTCTGAAAGTCTGCGCCTGACGTTGCCACATATCACACTCTAATATCTCATAAAATATATGACTTTATTAGTGTGATATTACGTTTTATTTATAGTTTATTATTTATAATAAGACTTATTATGTGAAATGATTTGTAGAAGATTGTTATTAAGAAAGCATTACACGTAGTTTCTACTGGAAAAGATTGCATCAAGAATAATTAATCAAAAAGTTATAGGACGATCAAAAGGTTGCATTTAAAAAACGCCCTCAAGGCATTATGTTGAAAAGTAATTTTATTAAATTTTAGTAAAAGCATATTATAAAATAATACTGAAGCTGTAAATATGTCCAGAAACTAAACTGACCAACAAAGCAACAAATTTAAGGGATAATTTGAGATCAATTTAATGTACCATTTGAAAATCATTACTAAAAGCGGTAATTTTTTATAATTGTTAATTTTGACTATTTAATAAAAAAACATTTAAACTTAAATTTTACAAACACAAATTTAATTCGGAAAAATAAAAATTATGGTCATTTTATTTTGCAAAGGTTTTAAAGATAATTTTTAAGAAGTGTGACAACATGGCAGCAGCAATAAACGCGCGCCTGTATGGGGCACAAGAGAAGGGTGTGGTGTGGTGCGTCGAGGTCCCGGAGTAGTCCAGTGGCGCGACTCTTTCCGGATCGTTAGACGCTCGCTATTAAACACAATTAGGCCATAATTATTCAACAAAATTGCTAATGCGTCCTTGTTTAGCCAATAATTATGCAATAATTAAATTAAAGGGACCCGATTTTATTTTATTCACACTTTTATCAACGTCATTATTTGTATGCCTCGCGAATTAAATTTAGTTCCAAAGTTTTTTGCTTAACACTTTAAATTTTAGATTTATTATATACTTAGAATTTCTTTTTGAAGAATATTAATTTAAAAATCAAATACGTTTTTAAGATTTTATATTTAAATTGAAGGTTACAGGGAAAAATAAAACTCCTTTAAATTATCAAAAAGGTCTAACCAGCTGCCTTGAACAAATACGAACAATATAGTTTTATTGCCACTGGTTATATATAATTATAAATTTAAAATAAAATTAAAAATAAGTTTTAAAAACTTACATTACTCGTATAAAACAAAACACTTAATTAAATCCATACACTGAACTGAATTCTTATATTTCTACAACTTGTGCAACAATAAATTTTAATTTGGGTTTACTATATTTCCTTCGAAGCGTCGCGACGGAGCAAATTCATAATTAAAACCTGCATTTGCAGAACTTTCTTTTAAATCATTTGTATAACCTTTTGCTTAAACTTACATAGCTCTATCTATATAAGGCTTTAAAATAAAAGAGGTATAAGTGCAGCTGCCTGTCAAGCAAAAATGCCTTGTCTACAATATTAATTAATAAAGAAGAAAAGATCATTTTTATTGTTTTTAATAAAAAAAATGATAATTTAAGGCATTTTTGCTGCACTTATTCACCTTTTATTCTAAGGCTCTTAATTGTATTGTCACAAAAATATTAAAAAACCTGTTAGAAAATAAAATGCAGGACAAACTTTTTTCTTTTTTTTACTACCCTTTATTTGAGGACCTAGATCTACATTTGTATTAGAATAGCATATATCTGCGCCACTGCAAAGACTTGGTGTCTCTAAAATCGTCGCAATCAATAAATTTACCCATATGATCGGCAAAGGCCAGGTAGATAATATTGTTTGAATTTAGACCAACTTCTTTTGCTATTGGACTTGAATAATCGCATTTAAATCTAAAAAAAATTTTGCACGAACAAATCGACGTCCCCGATCGTTTTATTTAAATTAACAGAGAAAAGATTTAATATTTTATGCCGCGTAAAAATATTTGAATTTTCACAAAATGTTTAAAACTATACATGATTGAAAAAAACAAAAATTTTGGCTTGATTAATATTTAAAAAATATATATAACGAGTAACAGACCTGGTACCCTTTTTTAATAAAACTTAGGTGTATAACTATAAAAACAAAGTTAAAACAAAAACTTTTTTCTCGACGGGTCGCAAGTTTCTTTTGATAAGTAGGTATTATATTATTAAATTTAAAAGTTTTAATATAAAAATATATTTTTAAAAACAATTTTTTATTAATATACATACAGATTTAATTTTAAATAAATTACATCTGTTTCAATTACACTAGTTTACAAAATCGAAAGAAATGTCTGGCCACCATATTCCATTATAATTTTTCCATGTATTTTGATAGGTAACTTAATAAAATCGTTTTTTTGGCAAAAATTTAGGTCGAAAATTTACGTACATATCGTCCTGGGAAAAGGTTTAAATCAAACAGATAGGTAACTCCAGTTTGAATTTGTTTTCGTAAAGCTAAAAAAACAAGCTAATATTGATAAAAATCCATGGATAAATGGCGAAGTTATGAATTTTTTAGTGGAAGACCAAAATTCAGCTTTTTGACGATTTTTTTTCTTTTATTTGGTAATATGTTTATTCTTGAATAAAAACCTAATTAAAGTGCATGATTAAAATTTTTTGAGTTTTTTACGTACATTTTTCACCGAAAACATTATTCAAAATTTAAATTTGACATAACTCCGAAAACGTGACTTCTTTTGTTTCTCGTGTTGGCATAGTGACATTTTACTGTTATTTTTTGACATTTTAACAAGGTATTTTTATCATTGTTTATTTAGTTAATAAAAAGTGTAAAATGAGTAAAATATGTAGAGAGTACAAGTGCGTAAAAAACACGGCGTCGCGACGTAAGCACGGAAAACGTTTTCACCAGCAAATGAAGGCATGGAGCGGAGGTATCACGGCTTCTGGGATGCAGCCATGATGGGTCCCTTATACGAGAAACGGAATACGAAAGCAACAAAAAAAAATGAGCCAGAATTTTTTTAAACCTATGCTTATTACAACAAAATAAAACTTTCAATATCTTCAATGTTCAATATTTAATATAGAATTTAATTTCAATATTTAATGTTTAATATAAAAATCAATGTTCAATATTAAATTATATACGAGTATAATTCAATAAAATGAAGAAAAAACGTAAACATTCTCGAAAAGCTGAATTTTGATCTTCCACTATAAAATTCATAACTTCGCCATTTATCCATGGATTTTTATCAACAGCAGCTTATTTTATTCCTTTAAGTATCATCTATACGTAAAACAAATCAAACTGGACTTATCTTTTCGATTTCTATCTTTCTCAGAAAGATATGCAAATTTTAGACCTCGATTTTTGTAAAAAAAACTATACAAGAGAAAGTTGATTTAAGTGCTTGTTTGGTCAAATCGATCAATTAGAACTCGAAGTATACTCTAAAACGTCAAAACAACTCAGAAAATTAAAAAAAAAACAATTGAAAATTCATATCTCGAAAACGCTTCCATAAAAAAAGTGTGATTTTCGCGTTTTGTGAGCCAAACTACACAAGAAAATCATAGTTAGACATGGTGGGCAGAATGGCTGTAAACTAGTATTTTTTATTTATTTGTAATTCAATGAAAATAGATCACTTTTGTTAATTCTTTTTTTACAGGTTATAATTTCGCCAATCCTTGCCGGTCTAGCAGTGGGAATTGGAGTTCCGATTCTTCTTTTTTACGTTTACGGGGTAGTTCCAGTTTCGTTGTGTCGGTCTGGGGGCTGCGGAGGGTCAAACGCCGCAGAAGATGGTTCTGCCCTCGTCTCCAGGGCCGGAGACACCTCCTCCATCGATGCGGTCAGCACAAAGGGGCCTAACCCTTCCATAGGTAAGTTTCATTATTCTGAGTGAATTTGACCCCCTTTACAGCTTAACCGGATTATAATGGTGGATTTGGTTTAAAAAGAGTTTTATTTATATTTGTGTATGAAATCTTTGAAATATTTATTTTACTTGCTTTTTAAAAATTAACTTTAGAAATTTGTGTTAGGCACGTTGCGTTAAAAGGCAATATAAAAGTTATAAAAATAAACTTAAAAATATCAAGATTGATTTAAAAATTAAAGATATTTTAAAATATACATTTATACAGGTTGTCACAAAAATTGCGTCATGTTCTTTTTCTTTGGTCATAACCGATTTTGACGTTAAAGACTTCAACTTCAAGTTAAAACCTAAAAAATTGAATGAGCTGAAATATTCAAAATTTAATAATACTGCCGTGCTTAATGAAAACGCCGTAACCAACAATTTTGCGATTTTTGTTTTACGGCATTTTCTACTAGAACAATTCATCCTGTGTCTATCCCCGGTACTCAAAAAACCGTATATAGCAAAAATCGCAAAATTGTTGGTTACGGCGTTTTCATTAAGCACGACAGAATAGTTATGATGGCAACAATTCAAATCATTGCTGAGAACATGGCTGACAAATGTATTTTTTGATTGAAAATTATTATAACTTTGTTATTAATAATAATACGTAATAATAATTTAAAAAATTTAAATTTCTATTTTTAAAATGTAATTAGAAAATTAAACGCGTGGCGTTGAATAAGCGTATTTTCTAATAGGATCATTCGTTTTTTAAATAAATTTATCTAAGGATGTCAGTGAAGTTTTATATACAAAAATAAGTTTATTGATTCACTTCAATAGTAAAACATTGCGACACACATGCTCAATTCAAGCTCCAAAACGTTTTAAAAAATATATTAAATTATTCGAAATAGTCCCACGGATTTCCACAATAATTTTAAGTTATATTAGATTTAAAGCCCACAAACATTGAAATATGCAAAAAGATTCTGCAGTTTTAAAAACCATGCTCGTATTGAAAGTAAAAAAATGATATTTAGTTTATTAAGTTAAATATTAAAGCTATAGAAGAACCAAAAAAATTAAATATGAATATTTTCTTAAAAGCTAAAGTTGTAAGTGTAATGACCTATCTCCTCTCAGGCTTTTAAGAAAATATTCAAATTTAATTCTTATTTATTTTTTTGGGTTGGGTTGGGTAACTTTACTATTTAACTTCACTCACTAAATTTTATTTTATACTTTTTAGAGTTCGTTTAATTATCTAAGTTAAATTGGTAGCCCAAACTAGATTATGGTTACCCACTTACTTTTGCTGCGTGTGCTTTCCATTATTTAATTTTTTTGCGGTGTGAGATCTAAAAGGGCCTTTGAATTTGAGGTTTGAAAAAGCTTGGTAAGTATTGTTTAGGTCATCTATCAAATTAATCTTTTCTTTTATAAGATTTTCCCATTTTTTCCAGAATTTTATGGAAAGCTTGGGGAATGATGTTGCTAGGCCGCCTAAATTTAAGTTCCATTTTCGGAATCGCAATCCGAATATATTCTGACAGTTGTTTTTTTGGCTGTCAAATTGAATGAGGTACAAACTTTGTACAAAAAAACAAACGCGTTAATTTTCATTGTAGCTAAACTAATACAAATTAAATTTGTGATCGCTGCAAGCAAAAAATCATTCGAGAATGCAAAAAAATGTCGCAATTAAGTATAAAACAACATTTTTTCGAAAACTGTATCCCACAGTTTAAAAATTACTAAAAATGTGAAGAGAAAATTTTGAAACAGATATAAAAGTATTTTCTGTACAAAACAACGAATGTAATAGTATATTCTGTAACAAGTTTGGAATACGGCATATTCCAAATGTGTTTTAGACTATACTTTTTTTTACTATTAGAAAAAATACCATATATCAAATTTAATTGGGAGAAACTGAGTTTGGATCAGTCTAAAAGTTGTTAGATAATAAACACAGAGATGTCGCCACCAGTGTTTATTGCGTCATACGCTGAGAGAATAATTTATTTTGTAAAACTTAGTCATTTTTTCTACTCCTATTACGGAATTTTACCGTTCTAATATCACTTTTATCTATGGAATGACATAAATTCCGTGAAGGGTTATAAAATGAAATATTCTATCATCGGATGGCAGAATAAACACTCGTGGCGACATCTCTGTTTTTAATATCTAACAAATTTTAGACCGATCCAACCTCACTTTCTTCCAATTAAATTATTTTTCTATGGTATTTTTTGGAAACGTAGAAAAAGTATAGTCTGAAACATGTTTGGAATTGCATATTCCGCTCTCGTGAAACTGTCAAACTCGCCTTCGGCTCGTGTGACAAACTCTTCACTCGAGCGGAATATGCTGTATTCCAAACTTGTTACAGAATATACTATTCCGTAATAGGAGTAAAAATAGTATATTATATACACTACAAGGGCCGAAAGTTAAATTTTCGGCCCTGCGCGTCATGATGCCCTCGGCATACCTTGTTCGAAAATACTTACTTTCGTCCCTAATAGGGACGAAAGTTTAACATTTACTCCCTGTGCTATTAGGGACGAAAGTACGTACTTTCGACCGAGGTAAACTTTCGTCCCTGCTATTAGGGACGAAAGTAAGTACTTTCGACCGATGTATGAAGAAAAATAGTATACACCACACCTTTTGCCCCTTGTAGTGCAATATACTATTACGTTCTGTAGACAAAAAACTGTTGTTTTGAGTCAAAACTTTTGACACTTAATAAATATACTGTAAATATTTTTTTTCAGTTTTTAGTGAAAATCTTGGCCCCCGTATACTGCCCAATAAAAAGTAAAAAAATTTCTATAATTTTTGTATAAAGTGTTTTTTGTTTATACAAATAAGTAAAAAAATATAATTTGTTAAATTAAATAAATAAATAAAATACTTTATTTTTCATCCCAAGAAACATACAGTTTATAGAGGGACACCTCTAATCATACAATTTAATATATATTTTTTAATTCTTAATACATTTTTTAAATCTAAATTAATTTTATTTTATTAATAACTTTTTAATTCTAAATAGGAACATATCATTAAGGGCGTTTCTCTGTAAACTGGGCAACTCATTGTCTCAAGCTAATATTGTTTAGAAAAATAACAGATCATAAATATTTCGTAGATAAATTCAAAAGATAATAACCTAATCTACCTATGCTCGACGTTCAAAATCCAATAAAATAAACTTTAATGTATCAAAATCGTTTTTATAGTCCTTAAAAACCAGTCCCCTGACGAGTCACCAAAGCAAAATGGTCACTTCAGACTAAATTAATTAAAGACAGTAACTATTGGAATCAACCTAATTGTTTAATTATTCAACCAATATTGTTTGCTTGTTACTGTGACTTATTTATTTTTTATAATTATTATTTTGTAATTCTAAAAAAGTCATCTAAACTTTGTCTCCGGATTTTATAAACAGTCCCCTGTATAGATTTTTCAGAAAATGCTCAATGTTTTCCAAAGTAATAGGAATATTTTTGGTTCATCTGCCGTATACTAATAAATAGACCGATATTTATTCCTCGAATAACATTTATTAAATACAACAAAAATATAACAAAAAAACTTGCCTAGACAATTTCTTACTTCAAGTTGCCCAGTTTACAGAGAAACGCCCATAATATAATATCACAGAAAAAAGAAAAAATACTACGATATATCATTGTTTATTCAATAAAATTCGCCACAAAAGTTTTTATTTTGTTATTTTTTTATCTTTGCGCCGCATTGATTCTTACACCAGCACGAAATGATGTCGACCAGTGATGATGGGACCGTCCCTCCTGAGGTCGTCACAAGTTTTTAGCTTTACTCTTTCCCAGCTATGCCTGAATCTGATGAAATGTTCAAAAATAATTATATTCAACCGGTGATTGTGTGGGTGGCAAATTAGGGAGATTGGATTTAATTTTCGCCATTCGTGCACGATAACAACTTTAGCCGGAAATGATCTTGCGTTGTTTTATTACTTTCTCCTCCATATACGGCAATAAAAATGTTTTTCCATTAGGGTTGTAACCTCTTGAAACCGTTATAGCTTTTTTAATCAAAGAAACCTGTCTACAACAATATAGCGTCAATAGGGTAAACAAAAATTCTACTCCTATTACGGAACATGACCGTTCTAATATCACTTTTTAATTTGGAATAAATTCCTTAAAATATTACAGAATGAATTATTCTGTCATTGGATGACAGAATAAACACTGGTGGCGACATATCTGTGTTTAATATATCTAACAAATTTTAGACCGATCCAACCTTAATTTTTCCCAATTGAATTATTTTTCTATGGTATTTTTTGGAAACGTAGAAAAAGTATAGTCTGAAACACGTTTGAAATTGCATATTCCGTATTTCAAACTTGTTACAAAATATACTATTCATTACGCTTTATAAAGAAGAAAGTAACAAAAAATATCTAGATTATTTTTGATTGTAGCTGTTCTCTCGGACAAATCGTGAAAATCAAATCCGATCTCGATAATTTATCACCTACAGAATCGGCGGCTGAACATCATTCTTTGAACATTTCATCCGGTGCAGGCATGGTTGGCGAATTTTTTAGATCCAGAATAGGGCGGTTAAAGCTTCATCCAATGATGACCTCCGAGTCAGGAGAATCATTGCGGCCCAACGTGCGGCTGTCCAAATCCCGGGTTAAAATGTTTCGCAGTTTGAACATTCAGGGTTGCCACTCATCTGGAAAACCTGGAAAGTCAGGAAATTTAAATTTTTTAGAAATGTCAGGGAATTGGCAAAAAAATCTACAAAGTCGGAATTCCTAAGTCGGTCAGGGAATTGGTTATTTATAAATAAAACTGGTCAACAAAAATTATGTTAACGACTGTAATTTAAATTTAATTTATTCAAAATATGGCAGTGCTATATGTCAAACTTATCACTATAACCTTAGAAGTCTATATCACGACTTATCACTATAACCTTCTAAGACTATATCCAACTATTTTTAAGTTTAGGGTGATTAATATTTTATTTGTAAGCATAATTAATAAAGTAATTAATTAATTAATCAGTAAAAGCATAATTAATAAATTAATTAATTATTCAGTAAAAGAAAAATCATAGTTCCTGTTAATAAAAAACCGTTTCAAGCCAAATGTTTGATTTGCAAGCAGTCATAGGCCACATAAAAAGGATCGGGCCATTAAAAAAGGATTTCGACAACGAAGAACACAAATTTGTCAAATTTTGTTAAAAAAAAAAAGAACCAGATGGAAAATACTACTCTCTAAATATGAATTAGTTAAAAATGACTAATTGTCATAGCGAAAAAGTAGCCACTAATAATTCTAGTCAACAGCAATTTGTATCCCGGATATTTAGCAGTCAATTCCTATGTAAAATTGTCTGCTGAATCCGAATATGTCGTCAAAAGTTATGACAGTGTTTAAGATTTATTTAATTTTCCATATAATATGGAATTGACTATATCTCAAAAACTGCTATGACGGTCTTTACGGATTCAGGGGATAATTTTACATGAGAATTGGCTGTTAAATGTCCTGGATACAAATTGCTGTGGACTACAGTTATTAGTGACTGCAGTGAATTAGTCAAAAATGACATATTTCAAAGTGAAAAAGCATGCTTTTTCACTATGAAATATGTCATTTTTGACTAATTCTTTTTTAGAGAGTTTGCTTGAAAAAGTTACAGTTTTACATGATAATAATATTAATAATAATATTGCTTTAGAAAATAACCAGAATAAATCAATTTTTTCAATAAAAACTCCTGCTAAAAATTATAGAAGAAATAAAATCTTTTTTTGTACTACCTATCAAATATTTACTGATAAGAACTCATCAACTTGATAAACAAGACCTGCCGCAGACAAAATTTCAGAGACATTTTTAAAAATTTCATTATTTCTGTTATTTTAGATTGAACAGAAAATAATGTAATAAAAACCCAAGAAACAAAACCCTAAATTAAAAATTATCCCGAAAAAATTAGCTACATAAAATTTTTTGTTTGTTTTTTTTTTAATAAGTATTAATTTTTTGTTAATGTTTTTGAATTTTATAAACTTCAATAAAAGTTTAGTTTTTTAATTAATCGTTATAATTCTACACCAAGAGAAAAATAAATTCAAGTATTACATAAGCACTTTGCTTGATTGTTTTGATTTATTTTGTATATTTTGATAAGCTTTACTTACTTTTGCTGACAAAGGGAAGGGGGGGTTAAAAATTACAAAATTACTGCTTACCTAATACCACCTATATTTTTTTCAATTTAATCAACTATATTTTTTTCTCATTTGTTTTAACAAAATATAAATATACTTCAGAAAAAAGTTATTGAAAATTAAAATTATATTATATTATTAAAATTATATTTGCGTATATCTTCGTAGGAAAAAACTGTCAGGTGGTTCCAATTTTGTTTTAAGATTTTCAAATAAGCCCCTATCGATTCATGAAAAAAAATAGACAGTGCCTTGGCAGGCAAGGTCAGGTCATTTTAAGTATATATATATATATATATATATAATATATATAATGGAAGTCCGACAACTTTTCTGCACTCTTCTCTTCTAACTGTCAACAAACAGACAGTTTCGTACTATTTTTTTTATAATCTGTGATACTATTGCAGGAAATCTTTAGTATTTTTAAACATTGACTTTATTTTAATTTGAAATTTTTAATGTAGCAATTTTGTTTTTTGTCAACCTATTTATGGTGCAGGTTAATAGGATCCGATCATACCTTTGGTGATTGTATAAAAATCTTGCCAGAATAAAGACAATTTTTAAACTTGAAAGCTTCTGATAAATTGTAACAAAAATATCTTTATTGCCCTTTAAACCGTGTCTATCAACAAATATATATCTACAAGTCATTGATTAAAATGTAATAAACATGTTTATTGAACAAATATTCTTTTAGGTGAAGCAAGTCTGTCTATGGCTAGTGGGAGTCAGGTGTTAAGAGATGCGGACCGAGAATCGGCGAGTGTCGTGGCGCTGTCGGGAAGCGTTGGACAGGGAGCTCAGCGATTATACGTTCACGCCGACTTGATTTCCAATCAAAGTCTCACGGAATCTGTTAATGTCAGCATTACGGACGACGCAGGCGCGTCTGTTAGAGCTTTGGCTGGTTCAATTAACAATTATAAGGTAAGTTTTAGAATGAAATTTAATTTTTTTTCTCCGTAATAAAAAAATACTGGTATCAGTTACCAGTTAAGTCCGAAATAGTCTTCTTATAAAAATGAAAAATTCAAGAAAATTTGTAATACAAATTGTGTATCTAATAAGTTGCAAGTTAATAGGATATTCGATTATGCTTTTTTAACACGTTCACTGCTTATGACGTTTATATCCGTCATAGGCTAAGTTTGCCGGGTGCGCGTGACGGATCCATCCGTCAGTGGGTATGTTTTCAAGTGTGAAAACATACTTAGCACTCCGGCAATCGAGCTCACATGAGCGTGGTCGTAAGTGTTTGAGGGAATTAAAAAATATGTTTGGTCGAGTTAGTAATAACAGCGGTGTTGCCAAACTGAATTTGAAAATAAACGATCAGCTCCTGGACCTTGCGCCTAATTTTATGTAGCAGCGAACATATTAATGGATGATTGGATTTCAATCTTCCTAGATTAAAGACAATTTTGTTGCCTTTAACAAGGTAGGTTTTTCAATATACTAAATATTGCTTTTGATAAATTGTTTTATATAAAGGTTCTATTCTGTTCAAATATATATGTACAATTCTTCAGAAATCGGGAATCTAGATAAAAAAAATATTTACTGCTATGAGTATGAGTATAAGAAACGTATGGCAGGCCCCATTGGCAACTGATCTGAGTTATTTTTACCATCTTTCTTTTGTAAATCTCGCTAGAAGGTCGTGAATAACAACGTCGATGGTTAAGGCCACTCCCGGAATTTTTTCGCATGGCCCGATTTTGACTATTGGAGTGCGGAACAAGGAGGGAAAACATTTTGGTTTTTGGGGGACATTAAACCCCTCAACCAGGGATTTAGCAATAACCCCATTCAATTGGGGTTCATGAATGGGGCTTGGTTGGTTAGTACGCTGATTGGACTTATACTTGCTGGTCTTTTAGTACTTCCTGTACGTCTGTGTCCGTGTCTCTGTCCGAATCGGATTCCGGAAGTTGGTACAATGCTACTGTCATTTTCGCATACGGGTTTTGTGGATGCTGATGTGTTCCTATCGGTCACGGTCGATTTATAAGAAGCGGATCGTCTGTGCGAGGGTGTAGTGGAACGTCTAAACAGTAGTAGTAGTAGTAGTACCCACATTCAACCGGGGTTCATAATGGGGTCCGGTTGGTCAACACACTGGGGGGACCACCGTGTTTCTTGTGTTACTTTTTGTCTAACTCCTGAAATTATGCTGCAAATCGGTAACCGCTTTAGAATTGTTTGCCCCCTGTGAGATACTGAATCTTGTCTTCAGCACCGAAGTATTGCTGCGGCACGACCACGATCAGCCGTTAGCAGTGCCCCTCTGCCTTCGTGGAAATTCGACCCCTCATGCCCCTTCATAGTATCCAACCGTTTAGCCAGTCGTTATTTTACTATCTGAAAATGATAACAGACATTAACGAATTATTTTATCCCAATGTGCGTAATCCTTAGTTGTCGTTAGTTGCCTTTTGTGGTTCTAATGACTTTTCTGTGTTTAGGTTACTTTTTAGTTGCCTGCTTGTTCAATGTATTTTAAATTGTTTAAGAAACTTGTTTACCTTATTTCCACATCTAAATGCAGTACTTTAAAAAAAAATCTCGTCCATTGACAAATTTGTTTTTATTTTTATTTTTTCTTCACTGTGTTAAATATGAAGAAATTTCGTTTTTTTTAATAACTTTTTTATTTCAAAACGTATCGATTTGAAATTTAGACAAAATGTAGATCTTACTAATGATTTTTGTCTGGATTTTAACGTACAGGGGGCGCTGGTGATAATTTAATTTAAATTTAACAATTTTTAAAGGTTAAATAATCGAAGAAGCAACTGTTTTATAAATTTGAATATAACACGTTGAAGTATTGATATTTGACTATTATTTGATATATTAACTTTTTTATGCAAATGATGTTTCTGTGGCCAGGATCAGTTTGGAATTAGCAGTAGCAGTATTCATATATGTTTAGTTTAGTACATTTTGTCATTTTTATACAAATATTGTTGTATCTTTTATTAATAATTAAGTAAAGCATAACACATAAATGACGTTTAATATAAAGGGAACAAAATAATACTTCCTGTTTTTAATTTTGTTATTTTTAACAGAACACCTCATATATTTTTACATTTTTGAATTCTACATAAAATTCTAAGTAAAATGCCTATACCATATCCTTTATCTAAAGTCAATATTTTTCGAGTAATTTTTCAATAAAATATTTTAATTAATTTTATCTATTTTGGTTTCATAATGACTTCATTATAACACCGCTTTTGGTTCTTTAATGAGGTACTTTATTCCACCCAAAATTTTGATTTTATAGGTTGGCTACTGGTAAAATACAATTTTGAATACCTATAGGTTATAATATTTTTATGATTTGTTTTCTAGTACTTACGAGACTTTTCGTGTAATAAATTTTGTTTAACACCAAAGAAAATCCTTTTTTCTTCTTTAACAGCCGCTTATTGTAAATACTTATTGTAAATTAACGACGCCATAGCGAAAGAATGTGATAATGTTTGAAAGGTTAATGACCTTTCAAACTTCAAACTTTGTTATCTATGATACCAACTATGTAAAGTAAAATTTAACCAAATTAAATATAAGGTATAAAATTAATTTGTTTTATGAAATGTTTGCAAAATAGATAAAATAGCATAAAGAACTCATGTCATAAGACCTTTTGTCGCACTTGTCCATTATAAAACTCGCTCCTTCGTCGCTCGTTTTATAAATTGTCCGCGTGCGACAAAATGACGTCTTATGGCATTAGTTCTTTAATATACTATTAAACAATGACAGGTAACCATGGATACTGTCACATTAACCTACATGTAGAATTTCACAGGTTTGTTGAAAAAAATAGTATTGAAAATATTAAAAATTGTTAAATGTCTCTGATATTTTAACTTTAGGAAACAGTTATTAAAAGACCAATCGAAAGATTCTTTAATTTTCATTTGATTATAATAATAATAATAATGTTTATTAATTAATTACTTTACAAATGTATAACTATAATAGCTAAGAAAGTAATAAACATAAATGCAATCATTGAAGCATACTTCGGTAAAGTATACTTGTACATGATATATAATTAATGCATATAACCACACAACTAAAAAGTAATATTTACTAAAAACAAACAATAAACATAATAATAATAAAATTAATTCAAATTAATAACTAAAACTATATATGTAAATATAAGTTATTACAATTATGTTAAAACATATAGGGTTTTACATTTATAATTAAAACGTTGAAGTTTGCCTAATTTCAAGTGGTTTTTTTAAGCTACTTGTTGAAAAACCTTTAAAAAAATAAATTATTTAAACAATGTTTTAATATTCCAAAACTTCCAACCTCATGTCAGCAAACCTAATAACAAAAAAATTAGAGGCTATTTTTGATTAACGTGCATTTAGCAAAATTTTAACGAAAAAAATTAATATCTTGAAAACTATTGACTTTGGGTATAGTCTTAATCAAATTGTATACTCTATTAAAATTTCAAATCCATATCGTTTGCGTTTCTCCAGAAACACCCTTATATTAAATATAAAAAAATGCAACTAATTACAAAAAAGCGAAAAACAACTGAATAAAAAATATACATATATCTAAATAGCCGATCGCAACATAAAAAATTAATCTTCATTCTAATTTATTTATAGGGTAAATATTACTTTTCTCAGTTTAAAATTAAAATTGAAGCTTGCTTATCGAGTAAAAAATCAATTGAAGCTTGTTGTGGAACAAAAAATAAAATTATAGTAGGTTATAATTTCTAACTTGCTGACACTGTCTATAATTATTATTTAGTTTATTCATTTTAATAAATTAATGTTTTGAGTTTATAGTACATTTATAAATTAAAACACAATTAGTCATTTGCAACTTATAAACTGAACTGTCATATTATCTTTCATGTTCCCAATAGTAGGTTACCATAGAAAAAAGTCTATGATGCCTACTATGATCAAAATTAGTAAAATATGTAAGTAAGAATTGTATGTTATATATAATATATTATATGTAATATATAATGTATAATATGTAATATATAATACATTATCTTATAAAACTAGATAAAAAATATATACTTTGTAAAACACGTTAGTATTATTCCCTTTGAAGGCCTAACTTAAAAATGATGTCTCTCATAGAAGCATTTATAGTTTTGGGCCATTCCACGCTTAACGGATAGGACAGTTGCCGTGTTTTTATTTACAAAATAATATTGTTCTATTATATTACCAATGTCAAATTTTTATAAATAGTTCTAAACTAAGCTGTTTAACACGGTTTTTATTTGGCAAAATTAGGTATCGTGGTTGACTGTTTAATTCCTTAAAAACTAATAATTTAAAGCGTAACGGACGGGACTTTGTAATAGTCCCGTCTGTTACGCTTTAAGTTATTAATTTTTAAGGAATTAAACAGTCAATCACGATACCTAATTTTGCCAAATAAAAACCGTGTTAAACAGCTTTAGTTTAGAACTATTTATAAAAATTTGACATTGGTAATATAATAGAACAATATTATTTTGTAAATAAAAACACGGCAACTGTCCTATCCGTTACGCGTGGAATGGCCCTTTTAGTTTTATAGTATAGTTTATATATCAAATAATAGTTCATTATCAGTACTTTAACGTGATATACCTACTCAAAATTATAAAACAACGTTGCTTATTAAAAAATGGTACAATTTTAAATTAAATTGACCCCAGCGCCCCCTGCATGTTAAAATCTTAAAAAAAACTTGGATTTATTGCCATTAATAAGGCCTACATTTTATCTTAATTTCAAATCGATACGTTTTTAAATAAAAATGTTATTACAAAATATCAAAATTTATCTATTTTTAACACAGTAGAGTGACTGACCTACAGGCAGTTTCCGACAAGTGACATTTTATTATGCCTACTGAGTGATCGGCGTTGACAATTATTGACTTTGACTTTATTAAGATTTATGGTGTTTATTTTTTTCGAGTGTTTATTTAGGGACTAGTCTTGGCTTTTTGTCTGTCTTTTTTATCTATGTTATTATGTATTAATTTATGAGTCGTCTTACTCGACACTTTTTTCCTTGTTGGGAATAGTTTGTTTACCTGATTACCAGATGGGTTTCTTGGAATTTACTGATGCGAAGTATGCGTTTGGAATAAATTTTAACGTTTAGGGTTTATTGTTTAAAGTTTAGAATATTGGTATTATTATTATTAGGTCATGCATTTAGGTAAATTATTTAGCTGGATTAATTAGACTTGAATTGCCCTTAACGTCCCTTGTTCCTTGGCCTCAACCGTTCACTTTAGCGCTATTGGCCCGCGTTTATTGTGCTGGTAAACCAGGTAAGCCAGGTAAGCTTATCGTTGTTAACTAACCCCGCTCGCATTTTTCCGTCTCCTATAGGGCTAGCGCAACCGAGTGCGCTAATCGTGTAGGATACGGAAGCGAGACCTGCATCTCCGTTCCCTAAGTGGTTAACGCACCGCCTGCAATTAGGTATTATCACTAGAGGCTAAATGTAGCAAAGTATTCCTCAAGGTTATGACGATTAGCTGTCATTTTGGTTATGCAGGTACACTGCATTGGGCCATACCAAACTAACCCAAATTATCTAGTTTGGAAATATACACTGACAAAACTGGAGTCGTGGTAAAAAATCTGATTTCATGTTGCACCGCATACGAATAAGCACTCTGCAATGAACTTTCTGGGTGATCTTTCTTTGTATGTACATATAAAATATTAATAATAATAACCAAACAAACGGATTGACGTATGTCTTAAAGGCGCGAATCATTGTATGCACGTTATAGTGCGATAATACACTAGAGGCTAAATGTAGCAAAGTATTCCTCAAGGTTATGACGAATAGCTGTCATCTTGGTTATGCAGGTACACTGCATTGTGCCATACCAAACCAACCCAAACTTAACAACCCAACCCAACCGACCCCGCCCCATTGGGCCCCTCCCGCCCCATTGAGCAACAGAGGTATAATACATCTAAGGGCAGGCTGGATTGTGACAATGGGGCGGGAGGGGCCCAATGGGGCGGGGTCGGTTGGGTTGGGTTGTTAAGTTTGGGTTAGTTTGGTATGGCACAATGCAGTGTACCTGCATAACCAAAATGACAGCTAATCGTCATAACCTTGGGGAATACTTTGCTACATTTAGCCTCTAGTGATAATACCTAATTACAGGCGTTAACCACTTAGGGAATGGAGATACAGGTCTCGCTTCCGTATCCTACACGATTAGCGCACTCGGTTGCGCTAGCCCTATAGGAGACGGAAAAATGCACCCCGCTCACACACTTTTTCGACGTTTGCACTTTGGGGTTTAACCGGACCACACGCACTTTTCACTATTTTCGCACTTTCGTTTGTATCCGATAAGTTAACTGATGGGTTATTTTAAGATTCGTTTTTCTGGGCTTGATACTGTAAAAAAGTAAATAAATATGGAAATAAGTTATTTTTTTTATTATTATTAGTTTTTAGTTAAAAACCTATATATATACAATGATAAGTATACATTTTTTGCAACTGCGAGTTTTAACAAGTGATTACTAGTTTACAAATTAATAAAAAAGTTTATGGCAAAGTTTCAATTTTTTTTTTCATTTGTTTTTCGAAGGTTGCTATACAGTTACGGTCATATCTCGAGTTAGAAGCGGCCAATCTGGTTGCAATAAAAATAAACATAATTGAATCGCCGACAAATATCACTCTCTTAATAACTAATCATTTTACTAGTTTAAGTGCAATGGGGTTGAATATTGAAATAAAAATATTTGTTTTTGCACAAAAATAAGAATGCAACATTTACCTTTTGTCCAAGAATGAATAAAAATTAGGGCTGTACAATTTAGCCGGTTAAGCTGGCTAAAAAAGTTAGCTAAGTTAATTAGCTAGCTAACTGATCAGCTTAGCTAATTTAACCGGTTAACTAAATTAGCTCAGCTAATTAGCTAACGGCTAACCGGCTAATTTTTTTAAGCTATTTAATGATTTAATTAATTTAAAAGCCATTTTTATAAATAAAAATAAAAAGTAAAATATTATTTAACCTAATAAATTTATTATTGTTCGTCATAAAAGCAACATCAATTTTATTATTTACGTATATGTCACTTCTTTTGACGACAAAACTCATGGCCAACTGTGATCTCTTTTTGGTGTCAAAGTTTCAAAAAGTACTATAGGGATTTCATTGCTCTTAAATACAGGGCCCCGGTTGGATAATAGAGGAAAAATTTCAAAAATCCCCTTTTATGATTTATAAATACAGATTTAGATATAATCATTGGCGTAATAAACAAGAAAATCCAACAAAAAAAACAAAAAATCGGTTGAAAAATACAAATTTTTCAAGGGTAGTAAGGTCTTAAGTGGGACACACTGTATACAAGCAAATTCTGATATAATTATTGTGACCTCTTTGGTGCGTGAACGAAATTTTGTGTTAGCATAAATATCATATTAAACAACGCTGTCCTACAATGTTGTTTTAACAGAAGTGGCAAAAATTATTGTGGCCCTTTTGATAAATAAAATATATGTTAAATATACAGGGTGACCCAAAGCTCCGTAATCGGTCCATAATTTTTTTGCTATTAAAGATATCGATATGTGATCGATATGACATCAACTTTGTTATTTTAAATAGAACACCCTGTATATTTTTTGATTTTTAAATTTCATATGTTATTCCTAATAAAATTTCTATAAAATTCTCTATACCTAAACTCAATAGGTAATTAATAACAAATTTAATTCTGCAAAAACATACATACCGTTTTATTAAAAATAAGGAAGGTATTAATGTTTGAAGTTTGCCAAATTTACCCTCATTTTAATCAGTTGATTAGAAATTTGACAAAGTATGACATGGGATATATAAAACAATGTTTCAAGATTCCAAAAATCCAAACCACATATCATATAGGCTATTTTTGTTGAAGGCGCAACTGTCAAATTTTTACGAAAAAAAATAATAACTTAAAAACTATTGAGTTTAGGTATAGGTAATGTTATATAAATTGTATTAGGAATTACATATAAAATTTAAAAATAAAAAAATATACAGGGTGTTCATTCAAAATAACAAAGTTGATGTTCCTTCCGGTGAAACCGGAAGTGAAATTTTGTTAAAAATAATTTTGGAAAATAAATTTAGTCGGATCACATTTTCTATAAAAACTTTATATCGATGTCTTTAATAGCAAAAAAATTATGGACCGATTACGAAGCTCTGTGTCACCCTGTATATATTTTATATAAAAACTAAACTAAAAAGGTTTATAAATAATTGCCCACACTAAATATTAAAATGTAATTCCACTAACTTTATCAACATTTTTGACGAAAACTATTAAGTTTTCGAAAAATGTATAAAAAAAATAAATATTTTTATGTAATCTAAGTATAATTGGATTTAAAATTTTGAAAACCAAGACCATAAAAATAGGAGTATTAGTTTTAACAACTTTTTACAAATAAAAGTTATTTGCTCCAATTAAAAAAAAAAGGTTGGTCACCTATTTTCCTATTTGGCCACACTGCGATGGCGGTTATAGAACACTAAAACCCATTATTTATAAATTTTATGACCTACTTTCGGACTAGCACAAAATCAATTCTAAAATGACAAATGTAGTTGTTTTCTTATGTCATATTAATGTAGATTTTTGTTTTACAGGCTGCAGGGAGCGATTCTTGTAGCTGCGTGACTACAGAAGACTGCGTTTCCGAGCGGGTGAGGTTCGACGACAACGTCAGCTTCATACAGGCGGAAAAAGCGAGCATCGGCAGCAGCTGCAGCTTTCGCGCACGGTGCGCTGCCATCACAAAGTCCGATCGAGTCTACGACACGCTCAGCAACGACAGTATCTACATCGACATCGATGACAAGCCGAGAAAATACTCATCGACTGCAGCCCTGCTCCGCAGTCAGTTTTTCCATTCGATCAATGACAACAAGCCAACTACCAAGAGTTTAGAGGAGAAGACTATTATCGAGGTTTCGAACGAAACTTTGGATAAACAGTCGCTGCCTCTGATCGACGATAACGAAACTAAGGAAGTAACATTCGACCCCATTGCGCAATCACCGGTGCCACAGAAAACAGCGTATTCAAGTTTTGAGAATTCAAAACTATAGTAACCTTAATGTTGCTCTTCTTTTGAAAGACTGGTGTGCATAAAATATCGTATTTATTTAAATCATAAATATTCGTGCTATTTACTTCTCTTATCCAAAATTTTAAAACATTTTAAATTTTCATTTTTTTGCCTATTTATATCCAAGTATTTAGGGAATAGATTTAGTTTACAACAGAACCTATATCTACCTTGTTTATATTTTATATTTTGGACATGACAAGAGAATAGCACTATCAGTAGTATAAATGTGGTTTTTAATTTTTTTGAAACATTAAGCTATATACCAATAAATGTATAATTGTAAAAATAAGCCTACAAGTTTGGTATTATTTTAAGATATTGGAAAAGATCTTTGTTTTATATTTTGTTTTAAAAAGATAAGTTTAACAACCCTATTTATACCACCATTATGTAAATTTGGCTTACAATGTTGTTATAATATAACTTAAAATATTGGAAACAATATTTTTATATTCTAGTTTACTGATTATGATATGTATAATTTTAAATAGAATATCTTTAAATTATCCTTGTTTATTCGAATATTTTTAAAGATTTATTATTTTTTGATATATTAAAAAATGTTAAAAACTCAATAAATCAATGTCTTAACCCTAATTTGCATTTTATTTTTCTTCAATGTTATTAATATTAAATTTTAATATGGTTATATACCATTTGATTTAAACCTTACCACCACATCAAGGCTGTAGCTAGAATTGTTTCGAAGGGGATTGGTTAATAAAAAAACGGATGCAACAAAATACAAATTTAGTTTACAGGGCATTTTACGAAATGCCTTGCCGTACGAAATTTAAACTACCACCAATATTTATGGATATCTAATATTAAAAATAAATAAAAAAAAGGCAACAAGTATTAAAATTTCGACAGAAACCAACAGGACCAAATTTAGTCTTCTGGATTTCTGTGCTGCAAATATTAATGTATTAATAACTTAAGTTATAGAAATTAAATTTCTGAAATTGTACGGGCCAATTGGTCAGTAGAATTTCTATAGTGCGTTTTTTAATTTCGGTACCTTGTTCCACAGGACAGGCATGTTAACAAGAATTTGGATTTCCTCCGTATTTAAATGGCTAAAAAGCCAATATTGTAGCACCTTTATGGTTATCTGACTCCAAATTACGCCACAACACAGTGAAATTAAAGATTCATAAAGTGCAAGTTATAATATTCCCAGATATACTCTTCATTACAAAACAATTTTTTCTTTCATAATACGCGCACTTTTGTACTTCCCGGAAGGAAAATCAAGTTTGTATCTGACTCCAAATTACGCCACAACACAGTGAAATTAAAGATTCATATAATCGTAAAGTGCAAGTTATAATATTTCCAGATATACTCTTTATTACAAAACAATTGTTTCTTTCATAATACGCGCACTTTTGTACTTCCCGGAAGGAAAATCAAGTTTGTTTTACATGTTTATAACACTATGATAACTATAGTTAAATTTACTAACATTGCGTACGCCCACCTATATTACATAATTTTGGGCTGCTGATTTAAAAAATGCGACTCTTTTTCCTCCAGGTCGTTTAGGATTCGAAATAATTGCGTAATAAAATGCTCTGCCCAATTATCTCAAAATGTAAGTTTTTTGTTAATATTTTGATTATTTTGCCTTAAATCTATTTTGGATGTTCAGTATATTTTTGTCGTTTTTTGTCAAAAATATAGAGGAACATACAAACTCATTGGTAGATAGACTTTAAGGCGTTTTATTGACGGGCTGAAGTTAACAACAGTGGCTTTTCGAGATTTTACGCCACGGGCTGAAGTTAGCTTTATTATAAATTGGGAAAAAGTGAGGTTAAATTCGGGTGACAGTTGACAGATGTCAAAATTTTAACAAATAAAATTGGCTTTAAATTCTGTTTTGTGTTCGTCGTAGATAAAGTATAGTATGCAACTCGTTTATAAACTTCTCTAAACACTCGTTTTTATTAAACACTCGCTCGCAAGCTTCGCTCGTGCTTAATTAAACTCGTAACTAAAATGGCGTTTATAAAACTTGATACATAATATACTATTATCGTTCAAGCACACCAAAGTGCATCTATTAATTATTGACATTTGAAATTTAAACTTTAAATTGTATTTTTACTTGAAAGTGATTTTAAGAACCAAAAATTAAAAAAGAGCAGGGTGGCAGAGAAAGAGAAAGGAGACGAACATTTATGTCGTCGTAAATTTGTTTTGTTTTTGTTGCGGTACCTTTACGAACAAGGAAAACCAACGCAATATTTCATTACAAAATTTTATGAGATATACCTACTACTTTAATTTTGCAGAAATATTAAATGGACCTGATATACGACGTTTAATGAAAGATCAAGCATTCAAAAATGCACTCAAAGTTGACGAGCTTGTCGCATAGTGTTAAAGCTGTCAAGCTAACAATAAGCACAATAATACTATAATCCAATTTGATATTTAATACGATTTAATAAATTTAAGGTGGATTATTTCCCTCATTACAATATGAACCAATTAAAAGCCTTGAATTTTCGAATAAATTTCGTTTAAATAAGCCATTAAATCACTAGAACTATTTAACAGCGATTAAATTTCAGCCTCCATATTGGATTTTTGTTTACGATTTTATGGTTCTCGTGATATAATATATGATTATTTCTCGAATTAAAGGAATGTGTCAAAATTTATAAATATTTTTTTTAAAGAAAATTCCATTAACTTAAGGTATGTAATAAGTAATAATTGATATTTCGTAAACTAGATAACTTATTTTTTATTGTTTTTTAAAAAATGTTTGTTAAAACTTGTAAATAACACCATAAAATCGTAAACAAAAATCCAATATGGAGGCTAAAATTTAATCGCTGTTAAATAGTTCTAGTGATTTAATGGCTTATTTAAACGAAATTTATTCGAAAATTCAAGGCTTTTAATTGGTTCATATTGTAATGAGGGAAATAATCCACCTTAAATTTATTAAATCGTATTAAATATCAAATTGGATTATAGTATTATTGTGCTTATTGTTAGCTTGACAGATTTAACACTATGCGACAAGCTCGTCAACTTTGAGTGCATTTTTGAATGCTTGATCTTTTTGGAAAATAGTTTCTCGTCGAGAACTATGAATTTAATCGGTTAAACTCAGTAGTTTTTTGTTTGGTTTTTGTTGGAAAATGTTGAATGCAAAATAATTTAATACAATCACGAGACCGCGTAGCGGTCGAGGGGTTTTATTTTTAATTATTTTGCATGAAACTATTTTCCAAAAAGAAAAATCAAATAAAAAACTTACTGAGCATAGTTTGAGAGATTAAATTTATAGGTTGAGTGATATACGTCTAGATTATTTCTCGAATTAAAGGAAACTATTTAACAATTCATAAAATCTGACGTACGTATGTATCAAAATTTATAAATATTTTTTTAAAGAAAATTCCATTAATTTAAGGTATGTATTAAGTAATAATTATTGTTTTTTAAAAAATGTTTGTTAAAACTTGTAAATAACACCATAAAATCGTAAACAAAAATCCAATATGGAGGCTAAAATTTAATCGCTGTTAAATAGGTCTAGTGATTTAATCGCTTATTTAAACGAAATTTATTCGAAAATTCAAGGCTTTTGATTGGTTCATATTATAATGAGGGAAATAATAATAGGTATATCACTCAACCTATAAATTTATGCTCAGTAAGTTTTTTATTTGATTTTTCTTTTTGGAAAATAGTTTCATGCAAAATAATTAAAAATAAAACCCCTCGACCGCTACGCGGTCTCGTGATTTTATTAAATTATTTTGCATTCAACATTTTCCAACAAAAACCAAACAAAAAACTACTGAGCCTAGTTTATAAACTATCGGTTATAACCGATTAAATTCATAGTTCTCGTGATATAATATATGAAAAAAGCAAAATTATGCAATGCATTAAATTTTGAGGGCTTAATTTGGATAAAAGTATACTTTTCAGTATACTGAAACTTATTTACTTTGTTGCCCTTTCAATTTAATAATTAAAATAAACGACAAAAAATGTCAAATAATGGTTCTTTTTTACATGAAATACATTAAAATTTTAGTTTTAGTATTTAAAATGTCATAATATAACATTTATATTATAATATATATTATAATATATATTATAATATAAATGTTATATTATGACATTTTAAATACTAAAACTAAAATTTTAATGTATTTCATGTAAAAAAGAATATAATTATATGACAATATATTTTTAAGATAAATATGATCTATTTGCCGTGTACCAATTACTTTAGTACACTCGAGTAAGATAAATTTAAGCCAAAATAATTTAATAAATAATTAAAATACCAAAAAAACTTACATTTTGAGGTGATTGAGCAGAGCATTTTATTACGAAATTATTTTAAATCCCAGACGTCCTAGAAAAACTGATGACATTTTTGAAATCAGCGCCCCAAAATTAGTAGTAGTAGGAGTACTTAATGTTAGGAAAAAAAGTTTCTAAAACTATCATAGTGTAATGAGCGAGTTGATTATAAACGGAAATACTAATATCTGTACCCCAGAGCCAAGTGTATTAATACTTAATTAATAATAATATAACTTTTTAAAATCACGGTACAGTTGTATTCAATAAAAAAGCGTACAAGAATTAGAATGAGAGAAAACTGTCAAAATAATATTATTGCTTAAAACCGGCTTATCACTGACATAAGTCATTAAAATAATTATTATAGGTTATAAAGAGCATTGACGTCGTAGGTTAATTAAATAATATTACAAAAATTACCTTTTAATAATGAAAAAAACAAACATTAAAAAAAATTTAATATTTAGTCATGCATCCCTGTTTTTCTATTACTTGAGCCAATCTATTTGGGATGAACTGAATTAAATTTAATACAATATTTGGATTAATATCTTCCCAGCAGTATAGTAGGTATAGTATAGTTGTATAGTTTCCCATAAATCCTCAGATATCTCAAAAAAGCAGCATCCTGTTCAGGGGTGGACATTTTGGGACGACCTGAACCAACTTTTTGGTTTAGTAAATCTTCCTGTTCCCAGCGTTGCTTAATTTTTAATATAGATTTTTTATTTCTATTATACCACAGTACGAATTGACCATTCTTCGTCGATTCTTGATACTATTTGAGCCTTTTTAACTGACGAGGCATTTTTATTTTCTACTGTCAGCTATAGTGACTTAAGTCAGTGGAAAGCCGGTTTTACGCAATAATGTTGACAGTTTTCTCTCATTCTAATTCTTGTACGCTTTTTTAATGAATACAACTGTACATATTTCTTGCGTACGTTTTTCGTACTTTTCAATGGTAAAAACAGTATTGTAACGATTTTATTTGTTCGACAGTGTTAATAAAATATGCACTGGTTTATTAACGAATTAAACGATGTATTTTTATAACTTAATTACAATTAAAACACTAACTAACTAACTAATTATTTATGTATCACAATAATTGTACAAAAGTCTATTTATGTCCACGTATATTTATTTCGTCGTGAGTATTAAAGCTTAACTAACTCCTTGATTTACCTTTTATGTCCAGGGCCTACGTGACTAAATGCAGGCAAGCACCTTCCCGAACCTTCAACACCGCTCTCGATCGTTCGGGAATCCCCCGCTGTAAACAAGCGATGACTCATCATCACATTCCGAGATTAAGAGCTGTAGTCGCTACAGTATTACGTAATACTGTAGCGACTACAGCTCTTAATCAAGTCCTAGGTCAGCTGGCTTACTTAGTTTTTAAAAACGAAGTCAGCCAGTACTTAATATTGTTTATCATTGGAAAGAGCGCAAAAATGTATGCAGAAAATGTGTAACGTGATTTTAAAAAAGTGGACTTGATACAGTTTTGCTCTGGTGTACAGATATTAGTATTTCCATTTATAATCAACTCCATCATTATAAGCATGTAAAACAAACTTGATTTTCCTTCAGGGAAAAGTGCGCGTATTATGAAAAAAACAATTGTTTTGTATTGAAGAGTATATCTGGGAATATCATAATTTGCACTTAACGATTACCTATATAAATCTTTAAAATATTTTTTTAGGGTCTATTTAAAATGTCCAGAGAAACAGAATCAGGTTTAGCTTTATATAAAAAAAGGTTTTAAAAGCAGAGCACCCAATATTTTACCAAAATGGTTAAAATTTGTTAAAGGTGTTGTAGATATACCTTTTAATTTGAGGAGAAAATTATTCCAAAATGCGCCCTTATTAGGTAAACAAAACACCATTTTTTAATATCAAACATTATTATTACCAAAATGTTACAAAAAACGGATAAATTTTTGTTGTATCAGCTCACAAAAAATCAGGCGAAATACGAAAAGTTTTATGTGGATTATGAAATTTTTCTTAAAAAAGGTATCATCATAAATCACAATCAACCAGAAAGGTAAGTCTTATCAATCAAAGACTTCGCTTTCGGATCTTGGCTCATCATCTGAAGCATCTGAATGACTTTCATCTTCTGGCAACTCCTCCATTTCTTGGTCTTCATTGTCATTCTTATCGTTTTCTTCCGATACTACGGTGCTTTGAGTTAAAATATCGTCGCCTTGTAAGTCCCTGTTTCGCAGATTTCCCATCCAGAAGGCGGCCGAACAATTATTAGCAACCAATGCTGCTTTTACCCTGTATATTAATGTTTCAAGGGTAAGTCTAAATTGAGGCACATAAGACATTATTCCTGTATCTTTGGTTACTTTGGAATAACAACATAAATGATGTAAAAACCTGGTATTAGTTTGTATTGATTTGAATATAGATAATACGTCATCAGGATTATGTCTTAGCATTATTTCCAATATTGGTATACCATGCGACAAAAATATCTTAAGTATTGCAATAGACTTTTTAAGAAAACTAGTTAAGTTGGTTTTAGATTCATGTGTTTTAGCTATCGACATTAAACCTTGCATGGTCATGGCTGTTGTTTTCCATAATACCAAATGTTCATCATTGGTTAAAGATAGTACATCCGATTTGACTCTGTTATGAAGAGCTGTACAAACTCCTGAGTAAAATAAATGGAAATTATGTTTATCAATACTGGCCAGCATATGTAAACAATCTTCTTTAGTTCTCAATAAAACGCATTGTTCCTGCAAGGATCCCACAATTCCCGATAGCGTTTTAAGGTTGGCATTTTTTAGGTAAACTTTTATAAAAATTTCAATTCCAAAATTAGCAGTTTTACCAATATGCAAACTTGACTTTGAGCTGTACCACCTTACACCTAATAATCTTGAGCTGGTTGATACAATTATCTTCTGTATATCAGGACTTGTAACTGTAGTAGCATACAATGATTCCATAGTTTGTAGTAAATACATACCATGTGTAATATCTAAACATTTGTCAATGTATCCAGATAATTTTTTGATTAAATCCATAATAAGTCGGTTTGCTGAATTCAGATTTTGAGATTGTCCGGTCAACAACGATTTTAATATTTTTCGCAGAAGATCGAAATTTTTGGAGTTTTGAAAACCAGACCAGCTAAATGTGTAATAAAAAATTTCAACTATTAAACCGAAACATGTTCTTAGTTCAAGCGCCTCTTTGGTGTATAAAGGCGGTAAATCATGTCTCCAATCGGTTTTGTCCAACAATTTAACAACTTCCTTTATGATTACTTGCAAATGCATATCAAGTTTGGGAAGAATGCAAACGCAATCTGTTATTATGCTTATTGGAGTGACAACATTTAAATGTGAAAGGCCTTTTTCTTTGCCTTTAGTTAATACGCCCATTTTCATTACAAAATCTTTTAATATGAATTTAAGTTGATGTATATTTAAAGTGGTGCTCTGCGATTCACTTGAGTCAGTGATATCTAATGGATATTTAAGTAGTTTTACTAGATCTGTGTCTACTTCTCTAAATACTATGCTGTGCTGAACAGTGATATTTTTCATTTGTTTTTTGCTGGCTTTAGTTTTTACAGCTGATGTACCAGGTGTGGATGCAATAGTAGTTTCGTTAACATCATTATTAGTTTTTAATTTTTTTCGTGGATTTTTCGCACTTTTACCTTCTTTAAGTGATAAATTCTGTTTCGTTACTTGCGACAAAGAATCAAAATAACAAACAGGCAATCTATGATCAGTCAATCTTTGCATGCTATAGTATAAAAGATCTTCCACTTCAATTAAATTTCTTAACCTCTTAATAACTTTGAGTCGCACAGATGTACAATCTTGTGTTACAAACGCGCTTATTACTTCTCTAAACCAATTCACGCAATGAAATATACAATTTGCGGTGTGACGCAATTGATCGTATTCGAGATCGTCGAGTTTTTGGAATTTAGGAAGAATCACTGCGCTGCCTAATAGGGCATCTATTGAAGATAAATCTCCATCGTGTTGCCTGTAGTGAAGTAATCTAAGAAGTCTAAAATGCGGTGCTAATAAAAGTATGTAATTTTTATGGGAATTTTTTGGATCTACGGTCAAACCGCCGATATTTACTCCCAAAGATAGATCTTCTTTGCTATTAAGTTCGTATTGCATAGAAAATTCTAAATCCATTGTGCTTTCGGGTAGAGTTTCAGTAATAAAAATAGTCTGGAAATTGTGCGTTATAGTTTCATACAACCAACCCATAAAATATTTATCTAGATACTGGGTAGTCATCAACATCGATGCCAATTGGTCGTAATACAACCCCATTAGTTCTGGGCAATTTGCGCAACTAGTACACGACAACTCCAAGAGACACGCTGCGTCTCTGGTGTTTCCTTGCGGCAAACTAGCAATTGAAATGACGGATTCTTCGCCAATTTCGCTGGGTTCTTTATTGGTCGTTGCCAAATGTTTTGCCATCACAACCGCTGATATTATACCTCTATGCTTTATATTCCTTTTTGAGCTTGATAATTGTTTTCTCACTAAAATGTGAATTTCGTCCTTCAAACCGCTCATACACTCTTCAGCTTTCTCGCCACATGTTAGTGTGCATAAAATTTCAAACACTTGTTTAACATCTTTTAACTCGAAGGTATCGAGTTTTTCCAGCAAAAGCATTAGCAGAACAGTATGCTGTTGCATTTTTTTGAAATCGTTTAAAAATTCTGAAAGCAATTTCAACACAATTTCCACAGTATCTGATTTTGTGAAACCAGTTAGTAGTATTAAATTATCCAAAAGTTCTTTGCGATAAACAATTTCTGTGTAGCTATGAGCAAACAGGATTTTAAACAAAGCCATAGCAAATTCAACCACTTCTGGTACTTGAGTTAATCTAAGTAAATTACAACCAATTTCTACCATTGTAGTAAAATATTCCTTTAGTAACTGTTGAGGCATAAATTCATCAAACAATCTATCTAGATGGTTAATTTTAAAGAAACCTGTGGTGACCTTTTTTCTCATTAGAGTTTCTATGCTTTTGTTTTTTAGCTTAGAAGTAGCATGCAACATAAACAAAATTAATAAATCTACAGGTTTATGATCAGCTGGGTTTTTAATTCCAGAAATTGTGTTAATCCAAGCCTCAGATATAATTTTTGATGTTCTACAATACATTTGTAATTTACTAAAAATTACTATTTTGTTAGAGTCTTTTTCACTATCAACTGACATCATTAATGTATCCAACGAGTTTCTTATTTTAATAAAGGTTTGAAAATTGTTTTGTATCTTAGTGTCTGCCATTAAAAACTCTAGTAATACCGGAAATATTTTTAAAGAAGGGCCAGCAATAATATTTGACAATATTTTGTCTTGTACTTGTGCTCTTATAGTTGAATCCAAATTAAGAGCATTGAGACAATCAATAATCGCTCCTGAAAGATTGTCGTCGCCTAAATCCAAAAGTTTACCTAGTTGTTCAGCTGTTTCATAATATTGGCTGTCTGGAATAATGTCTGGTATTGAATCCAATATTTCTAATTGGGATGCTAGGCCGGATATTTCCAATATATCCAGTAATTTTACTGTAAGATTCCTTGGTTCATTGATGTATGGCAAATATCTTAAAGAGTTTATTAACAAGCGTAGCCATGATGTATCTTCATGTTCTTCTGTGGCATCTTTCGTAATTTCTTCCAAAATCACATTAATGACTTCCTTTTGCAAGCTGTTAACTTTTAAAAGTAACCTGCAAAAAAATATTAGGTTTATTTACATACATACTTTTTGCAAAGATTTCCAACAATGTCCACAATTTAAAAAATCAAGGATTTGTGTGTTTATTTACAGTTTTTAAGTTAGGTAGTTTTTTGTTAATAATGTTGGCAAAACGGTTTAAATTTTTAAGCCTATGGGTACCTACATCCATTAATTACGTGAGATAAAAATGGGGGGAGGGGTCTAGCATAATCTCACCAAATCTCATTTTAAGGGAGGGGGGGGGGGTCATTGAAAATCTTACGTCAACTTTTGAGTTTAAAGAATATGTAATATAATTCAATTTTCTTAAAAAATTAAACAATTTTTTTTACCTTTTTGAGGTTTATTATGATGTCCGCAAAGAAAGTTTCATGGTTAGAATCGCACGTGAGGAATAGGGGGGTCAACCACATCTCACCAAGGGGGAGGGGGAGTCGAAATTATCAGAAAAATACCTCAAGTAATTAATGGATGTCCCCTATGTCTTACGGTGTAACCAGGTCGCCGCGATTTTTTGGGTCTACACGATGCAACTAATCAGCTTATCTAACTTGTCCTAAAATAGAACATGTTTTATTTTCTTGCAATAAAGTCGCGGAGACTTGGTAACTTTTATAGGTATTTACGAATTTTCACTAAATATTTTGGTTGGTACTCAATATTTTCAGTTGCGAAATAACAGATGAGTTTTATCTTGTGATTTGCGTTTAAGCTTTATAATCTATGCGTTTTTTTATTTACAGGCCTGTTAAAATGAACCGGCTCTTGGGGGGTTTTTAACCCATAAAATACTTATAACGAAAAAAACTTGGCAATTCTAGTAGAAAATAGCGTCAATTTGGTTGCATCGTGAGAACTAATCGCCGTAACAAAGTCGCCGCGAGAAGTATAGGTAGCAGTATCACTTTCTGCAATTTATAGTTCAGAAAGTAGCGGTAGCGGTACCTGCGGCCCATGCCTACTTTAATGCAGATTGTCATTTTGTTTGTAAAATTATACGTACATTATGGGGGTCGTGAAGTACGTCGCTATAAAACGAGGGAAATAAATCGGAAACTGATTAAAAGCACTTCATTAAATACACACGAATGACGGTGCCCATTTTTGACAATTTACTGAGTCTCGCATAAACACTAAACTTACAAGGCGAGGCTGCCAACTGAAAACTGCCGTGTGATTGGATAGAGTAGCGGTTGAGGTAGGAAAAGATAAAAGATGGTCATCTCTTGCCGCTACGTCCTTGCCTCTACTTCCCTTACCGCTACCTCTGACAACTATAGATTGTTTCATATAATATATAATGCCGAACTCGGATACCGCTACCGCTACCTCTACCGCTGCCTCTACCGTTACCTTTAAAACTATAAATCCAGCTTGTGGTAACTATTTTTTATGTAGAATAACACGAGCAACAATTTTATAATACACAAAATTTACGTAAACCAATATATTACAAAATAATCGAAAAATACTGATTTTTGGGATCTTTATATGCAAGCTATAGTAAAATATGCGACTTGTTTCAACTTTTTTCAGCCATTTATATGCAGATTTACCCGATACGTAAAATCAATAGTTAACGAGATAATCAAGAAAATCTGTTTTCGTGGCCTTCGACTGGCTGAAAAATGGACGCATCACAACTTTTCTGTCTCATAATTCGAAAACTGTTTTTCATATGTGAATTTTTATATAGATTTACATAAGGAACCAAAAATTCACGTTAACAATAGTATACGAGATAATCGACAAAAAATCGCGACCTTTATATGAGTCTCCTAGAAGCAAAGGGGCACTACTTAGTACATTTTGAATGGCCTTGTTTTTTAAGCTCTAAATGTCATACATGTATGATTATAATCCAGGGTTGAAAACTTAAAATACGTTTTTAAGAAGATTTATGATTCTAATTTTCATATGTTAAAAACAATACAAATTTATTTGTATTTTGTAAGTTTCAAGTCTTTATTTAATTTTGTTTCGCTAGCACAAAAGACATGTATTGGTCTCGGGAAATCCTCGCTATCCATTGTCAAAAAAATTCTAAAACTCTGTATAAAAGTAGAGTGACATCTGTATTGGTAGCATAAAATCTGTGTAGTTATAGATTTTATGGCAACACTGCATACAATGCACAGGGCTACAACTTTAACATGAAGTGAAATTTTTTGAAGACCATTTACCATATTGTGATGTATAATATTTGTACGGTCCAAGGGAATAATCAAGGTCGTCGATAATTATTTTTTTTGAGGGGGTAGCAAATAAAAAAGATAATTTTGCAAGTTTGTATGTATACACTGTCTAGCGAATGTATACAATAACTGATTTACTAGTAAAAGTACACTTTTACAAACTTTTCAGGTAAAAGTATAGTATACTACCTATAGGTACACTATAGTGTACACTATAAGTCAAAGTATAAATTTCATTAGAAGTATACAAAAACTAGCGCATCTTGCGCTAGTTTAGCTCTAGCGCCGGGGGTTGCCAGTAAACTGACAATAGAGTCGTGGAGTCCAGTATAGGTTTGTCCGCCGATAGTGACTGTTTTTTTTATTATAGTATATGTTTAAAACAATCATATCGTTAAAATTAATTACGCTGGACTTGGGTGTTTTCACCTAATGAATCCTCGTAAATATATAACTTAAATTTTAAAAGAACAAACAATAGTCTGCGTATTCGGGCTCGCGCGCGTACATTTGCGCTATCGCGCGTGTATTTGCGCTATCGCGCATATACTTGCGCCTTTTAAATGTCATATACATTTATCTTGCTAAAGTAAAGTTATCTGCCTTAAATAAAAAATCTCAAAAAAGCATCAATTTTGTAAATTAAAAAATCTATATCCCAAAAACAAAAAAGATGAACTTGTTTTGTTTCTAAAAAATAATTTGTCCTAAAAATCCTTCTGTTAAGTCATATAAATTTAAATTACAAAAAAACAGACAATAAAATTTTTATTCGGGCTCGCGCGCGTATATTTGCGCTGTCGCGCATGTATTTGCGCCTTTCAAATGTTATATAAATTTATCTTGCTAAAGAAAAGTTATTTGCTTCAAATAAGAATTCTAAAAAATATCCCAAAAACAAATAAAGAATGATTTGTTTTGTTTTCACAAAATTATTTGATAAAAAAATACCTTCTGTTTATAGTATACATTTAAATTACCAAAAAACAGACAATATTATTTGTATTCGTATTTGTATTTGCGTATTTTTAATGATATATACATTTACCTTGCTAAAGTAAATTTTTTTGCCTCAAATTGGAATTTTCAAAAAGAAGTGTCAATTAAAAAAAAAACAAATTTATAAAAAGAAATTGCCTTAAAACAATTACGGTCAAAATAAAAAAATATTATAATATGGAAATCGGCGTTGCGCGCCTCTTTTCTGTTATTTTTTGGATAATATTTTAGTGGTAATTTTGGAAGACCCAGAAAAAACATTATTATTTAAAATACAAAAAAAATAATTTACTGATGACACTCCAACTATTTTTTTGTTTGAAGGTTTAATTTTAAAGAACAAACATCATTTTTTGTTTATTAGGGCTCGCGCGCGTACATTTGCGCTATCGCGCCTGTATTTGCACTGTCGCGCATATGTATACGTGCGTGAGTGGGTATAAACTTTGAATTAAAAGTGTGGAAATTAGTTTTTAATGTTTACAATTTAAAAAAATAACTTACCGATGAAACTCCGGAAATAGCCGAATATTTTTGAATGAAGTTGTTATTTTAAAAAACAACCAAAATCCTGTGAAATCGGGCTCGCGCGCGTACATTTGCGCTATCGCGCGTATATTTGCGCTGTCGCGCTGTCGCGCATGTATTTGCGTATTTTTAATGATATATACATTTACCTTGCTAAAGTAAAGTTTTTTGCCTCAAATTGGAATTTTTAAAAATGGTGTCAATTTTTTAGTTAAAAAAAACAAATTTATAAAAAAAAGCCTCAAAACAATTACGGACAAAATAAAAAATGTATTATAATAAAGAAATCGGCGCTGCGCGCCTCTATTCTGTTATTTTTTGGATAATGTCGCGCTGTCGCGCATGTATTTGCGTATTTTTAATGATATATACATTTACCTTGCTAAAGTAAAGTTTTTTGCCTCAAATTGGAATTTTTAAAAATGGTGTCAATTTTTTAGTTAAAAAAAACAAATTTATAAAAAAAAGCCTCAAAACAATTACGGACAAAATAAAAAATGTATTATAATAAAGAAATCGGCGCTGCGCGCCTCTATTCTGTTATTTTTTGGATAATATTTTAGTGGTAATTTTTTGAAGACCCAGAAAAAACGTTATTATTGTTTAAAATATAAAAAAAAAATTACTGATGACACTCTAACTATTTTCTTGTTTGAAGGTGTAATTTAAAAGAACAAACAACATTTTTTGTTTATTAGGGCTCGCGCGCGTACATTTTTGCTATCGCGCATGTATTTGCGCTGTCGCGCATATGTATATGAGTGTATGAGTGAGTGGGTATAAACTTTTAATTAAAAGTGTGGAAATTAGTTTTTAATGTTTACAATTTAAAAAAATAACTTACCGATGACACTCCGGAAATAGCCGAATATTTTTGTTTGAAGTTCTTATTTTAAAAAACAACCAAAATCCTGTGAAATCGGGCTCGCGCGCGTACATTTGCGCTGTCGCGCCTGTATTTGCGCTATCGCGCATATGTGGTTATAAACTTTATGTGCAACAACTGAATTAAAGGTGTGTAAAATTTAAAATATTAAAAAAAACTTACCGATGACACTCCGAAAATAGCCGAATATTTTTTGTTTAAATGTCTTATTTTAAAAAACAACCAAAATTCTGTGAATTCGGGCTCGCGCGCGTACATTTGCGCTATTGCCATAAATTCGCGCTAACGCGCGTGTATTTGCGCATATTTATACGTGCGTGAGTGGTTATAAACTTTGAAATAAAAGTGTGAAATTGGTTTTTAATGTTTACAATTTAAAAA